AGAAGCTTGATTACACTCAGGCACGTAAACAGATTTACGCACCTCTATACGCTCAAGTCGTAGAGCAAACTGAAGGATATAAAAAACTCGCCCAAATCTATCATGATCATTGCTATAACGAGAATGAAGGTTGGTTGTCAAAGCGAGATGAAATCTAGAAAATGAAAAGTGTCTTGGCTCGGAATGTTGATTCGTCATGAAAATACAGCTGTTGTAACTTACTTTTTCAGATTGGATGGATCCATTTTACCTCCTAATGTTTTAAAGAATATCTGAGCATCAGTTAGTTGATCATGAGTTTTCAAATATAATATTTCTCCTCAAAAAGCGTGATCCCCAAAAAAAGAATTAGTGTAGGAATGATGTGCAATATAGCTCGAACCGATTTATTAAGTTGTAGGGGTGACAAAGAACAAAAGAAAAGATACAATATCAAAAAAGGAATAACGTTAGATAACTCACATTTTTAGGGGATGAATGGGACACTTTGAAAAGTGCCCCACAACTGGACACTATTTTTAATTTTCGCGTTGACAGCGGCTCCAAAAAGTGCTTCATAGTGGGACACATTTCAAAGTGTCCCATTCATCGCCCAAAAAAGTGCCCTGGAGCGCTTGGTTTTTTATGGTGGATTGAACGCACAACCACCGATTTTTTACCGATCTGATGCTGATTTCTGAGCGGCCGATCCGATTCCAATTTTTTCAATCAGTTACAACTGTGACACAGATATACAGTTCAGTTATTCGTTTTTTTGAAAAAACAGACCACTAACTAATATCATACCTCCTATACTATAAACATCGTCAAGATACACGGCGCGCCTAGCGCAAACTTTCAGCAAAAGTTTTTTCCAACTTTTTATACATCGTTGGATAGAGCGCATCGAGCTGGTAGAGAAAATGTATTTTTTAATTTTCGAAAATCCCTTTTCCATGGTAATAAATTTAGAAAACTTGAAGGACGTAAAAACCCGAAGAGTCCTTCATGTTCAAAAGAATTCAAATTTTGTCTGCGTTAGTCTGGATTTTCCAAAGTAATGTTTACTTATTCAGCATTGAAAATGGAATAGAAAAATGGTGTTTGATCAATGTCAAAGTTAAAGGTCTCTCCAGTATGACTGTCCCAAACGAAGCCCCTAAAATGCCGCTAAGCAATTTTATAAACCTATCTAACTTTTTGTGTTAAGGACTGAAGCCTCAGTAGATTTGCTGCAAGTCCGACTTGAAAAATATGCTTCGCTTTTTTTTACTAGTTTTAGGCAGACTGCATACTGTCAAGTCAAGCCTATCAGCTAGTGTAATACAACATGAGTTGTGTATTTAAATCTAATTCTCGAACCTTCGGCGCCGCTTCCAACAAAATATGGAATGGCATCCCTGACTTGTTGGATTTTTTAACAAAACATTACTGTACCATTCTCACAAACACTTACATAACGGGTGTAACAGAAATAAACGCACTTTTTTATTTTCGGTATATCTTCGTCAGATAATATGCGGTCAACTTAAATTTTTTTTATAAGATTCGCCATGAAATCCTCTACAAAAATATCTCTTAACAAGTTTTTTAGAATGAAAACTGTTAGAGTTATAAACTAAAAAGCGAGGGTGACTAAAAACGCCAACTTCATAAATCATATTTTTCATACTTTCTTTGACATTTTCTCAAACTGTAATTGAATTGAGGACTTCGATTCTGCTTGATACTATTACTCTGAAGTATACTCTTCCTAGTGCACGCCAAAAATTTTTGACATCAACACAGGCAGCTCAAAAATCAACGTTTTATGAAAGAGCCAAAAAACGTGTTTTTTGATTTTCTGAGTCAAAAAGAGTAAGCAAACAGTTCGTCAAATTCTCAAAAGTGGCGTTGTCGAACTGATTACACTACGGGCTACAAAATAAAAAAAAATGTTAAAAAAAAGGACGATTTTTGGCTGAGTTATGGAACTTTTCGTGGAGCGAGCAAAAATCTGCGTCCAAAATGGTGACTTTTTAGAAAATGTAAAAATTGCTCCTTGCTATTGCGGGCTCTAGAGTTATCCAATTTTTTTTTGAAACCACAGTTTGCAGAGAATTTTGTGCTCTTTCGAATAGTCGTCTCGAATTTCTCCTATCTTAGACTGTGAAAAAAATCATAATTTGCCTTATGAAGTTGGTGTTTTTAGTCGTCCTATTTTTGGTTCCACAACTCTAACAATTTTCTTGTTAGAAAACTAGTTATCAGATATTTTTGTAAAGATTTCCAAGACGAATTTAATAAAAAAAAATTTAAGTCGATTGGACGAAACCCGACGAAGTTATAGTGAAAATAAAAAAGTGCGTTTATTTCTGTTACACTCGTTACTTGTCTGCAACACAAATTAAATTGTACCTTCTAAGCATACTTGTAGATATAGTATGTGGACTTAAAACTTTAACAACAAAGCCTAAATGTTCATTATGACTTTCATATTGAGAAAATATATTTGATCGAACCACTTCAGTCAATTGTTTTGAATCTAAAGATAGATACCACAAGATATGCAATAATACTTAGATCATTTGAATGGTAAGATTGAATACCTGCACAGCCCAATTGTTGGAGGATTGATATTTGACTTTCGTCACAGAAAAAAGCCGAATAAACCATTGGTCCTACAAGGAAATTCTAACGTATCGATCATTTTAACAAAATCAATCAGTCATAAAAGCCCTAACCTAATACTGGTCCTCTTCCTGCTTCATCAATACCAAGTAGGAATGTTTTCTTTTTTAATGTATTAGTGTCAATTGTTGAATGTAAGCATACACTAGATAGTGGATCGCTTTCGAAATCGGTAATATCCATCTAAAATGGAAAGTTAAGGCGTATGTAAACTTCTTTAAAAACGAGTAAAAAGACGATGACTTGATGAACACAGACTAACAATGCTTAACTCAAACAGATTGGAATAATGAATGCATTAATGAGAAAAATATCACTTTTTTAGAGGACGAATTACTTTTCCTTCTTCATCGTGCAGCATAATCGTTCAACAAAAGCTTTTCATATAAAAAATTTCATTCTATTTTTCGGTAACAGAAGAAATTCAGACCATTGTACTTTGTAGTACTATCATCAATTTGTCAAAACCTCTTTTATAGGTTGCGGTGTTGTAGATAAACGAAAATCGGTATTATATATCTATATATATACACTATACGTCTGAAGGATATTATTCTGTAGAAGTACCCGAAAATCTTAATTGTTCATTTTTTTCTGAGTATAATTATATAATACAATCAGTTAATCAGTCAATTTTTAGGTTCACTGGACGAACTGCCATGACCAGTCGTTATTTCCTTTGAGCTCCGAATAACAGCTCCATAAAATGGCTGAAGCCAAATTGAAAATAAGCGACGTCATTGGATAAAACTTTGATAAATAAGCGTGGTTTTCATATATGTCGCTTACTGTCTAGGCGGGAATAAACCAGATACTTCATTTGAGAGCATTATATGTTCTTTTGAAATCTTTTATGTTACTGAGTCATTTCGATTTTTGTGCATATGGTGAATACACTTAATAATGAAGATGAGGACAATATGCACCGCTTTAAGCATTTTGAGACGCTTCGTACTTTATTCTAAGTACACCATCAGTCAAAAAATATTTATAAAAAAAAATATTTTTTTTGACTGATGATGTACTTAGAATAAAGTACGAAGCGTCTCAAAATGCTTAAAGCGGTGTCTATTGTTCTCATCTTTTATGTTATTTTATCACGTCTTATTCAAAAAATTGATTTGACTAACAGAAAGTCATCATCGATTTTATACTGTCTGATAAGTGTTCTGTACTATACTACTGTACACAGAATTGCTACGTCTTCTGATTTTTCTGATCGGTTTCTGCCCTACAAAAGGGTTCCAGTGCGCATGGCATGCTGGTGCGCAGGTGGTAAACTTTATCGCAAAATCGACTTTTTATACGCTGAACAGAATCCGTCCAAATTTTTTTCTGAGTAGCTTATTGAATGAATGTACGAGCAGTAAAGTATCTCTGTATTCAAATCACTTTTCACATTTTGGCGCGAACAGTGGCGCCATTTTCCGTACATTCGTTCAATAAGCTATTCAGAAAAAAATTTGGACCGATTCTGTTCAGCGTATAAAAAGTCGATTTTGCGATAATGGCAAGAAAATTTGCTATGAAGAATCGGCAGTTTTTCGGCACAGTTTTTCACAATTGAACACGCCTATTTTAAGTCCATGTTGAATGAATATCACTACTTTTTCGACTTTAGTTCGGGATGATGAAGCCTACGACGAAGTCGAAGACGAGAATAATTCTGAATACATAGACACAGACAATTCAAAGACGATGATAATTCCGTTGTAGTAAGTTTATGGTTGTGAGTGCGGATGTTTATATAGGATGGTCGCAGAGAGAACATAAGTGCGTATATCAGCCATTATCCCTAGTTTTCTTATAACTTATTACTGAAAATAAACATAAAAAACTCTTAAAAAATTCAGCCGTTTATTTGAAAAAAATATGAAAATGCAGTTTGAAGAATTCTTCTTTTTCTCAACTCAACGCTATTCGAAAATCTGGAATGTACAGGAAAAATACGGAAGTACGCGAAGAACGTCATGCAATGCGGCCCAATTCAAGAATATGTACATGAAAGCAAGCAAGATCAGTCCGGCGGTGATCGAAGCGGCTCTAACGAAAATCATCGACAGTTTAGATGAGCACGCGGCATTTGTCATCATTCTTGGCAAAAGAAAAATCGGTTACCATGATAGAGGCCAAATGGTAAATGACACAGGCGTCCGTTATTTTGTAATCCAAGGATAGAGAATTGGGTCGAGATTTGTGTTTGTGTAATAAATGTTGATGGCAGCTGCCGTAAACCCTTGCATCAAAAACTGTGGTTTGCGGGAGTTTATAAAAACCTGACAATATTGGTACCAGCGCTGGCCCGACCGGAGTATGGGGGGTTCTCTTCTCTTCATTTCGGCTTCCAAAACGATGTGTGTTTCCACTATTTTAAGGTAACATTGAGCAATAAAAGGCTTGTATTTCGCTCAAATTAATGGTCAACTTTCAAGTGAAAGATGGGAGTATCGCCGCCTTTGGCGACTGAGTATAAAATATAGAGGGAGACATTATTGCTGTTGTTACTGGAAAAGTTGAGTTTCCATTTTACTGAAGTCTAAATTTTTCCGATCAAACTTTCTTATTCTGTTCCAGAAAGCGACTGCCGTCGGCGGCATGGAAAAAGAACAACTCGCGTGAGTATTTCTTTTTTGCACTGAAAACAATTTGAAAATCTCTTACGATATCCTCTTTTTTCCCAAAGAAGCAATAACCCAGGACAATGATTACTACAGCGGTAAATGGCAGTGTACTACAGTTTATGATGATGGATACTGTAGTATACGTCAAAATACGAGCTGTTTACGACGAAATATGATGACGTCTACCGTGGAGAAGTTTTACGACGTCGTATTTTATCTGCAATGGATATGTATTTCGCCGTATTTCGACGTATACTATAGTTTACGATCGTAGAGCTTCGACCTGAGAATCTTTTTTTGCAATAATTTTTCTCTTTTGTAGATGGGCTCATAAAATGATGAAATCAAACAATTACAAGAAGCGTTATCAACACTACGCCAAGAAATGCACGAAATGGAATAGACGATGACCATAGTAATTGAAGAAAATAATAAGTTCAACGAAAAAGTTGAAAAATTGAATGAGGAAGACAAATAAGATTTATATTATCCTTACCAGGCATATTTTTACCATTTTAAGATAATTATATAACGTCGTTTATTTATATGTAAGCATTAACTTTATATTTAAATAAAGCGAATAAGAAAGTGAAGAAACTAATAAATAATAAGGCCGTCGTTATATAATTATCTTAAAATTATATATGCCTAGTGAGGATAATATAAATCTTGTTGAATTCATTTGGCGGCAAGGACATGGTATAATAAATATCTTTAGAGCGTTAGAAAGTGTAAGTTTAAAACACCCAGGTCGTTCAAAACGGCCAAGTTAACGGCATGTTAACGTCCCGTTAAGTCTACGTTAACGGGTCGTAAACGCACCGTTTTTTCACCGTTAACTGGGACCGTATTACGGCCCGTTTTTACACCGTTTACGGGCTGTTTTTAAAGAGACAAACTGCTTCGAACTGCGACCTAATGATGTTTTTGCTCAAGCATATACTCGAAGAAAGGAATGGCTAGTCGATCTCTAGCTTTATAAAAGGCTTTTAGCTCGTTATGCTTGATTCCACCATGTTTTACTTGAACTTTTCTTCGAGAACATGGTAAAATCAATTTTTAATGCTTTCGTCAGTCAGATGATGCTTCCATCTCGCCATAAGCTCTATCTGAAAAGGAAAAGTCAATATTAATACAAAGTCAGAGAAAGTACACAACAATTTCCACCCACTGTTCTTCTACTGTACATTAGAGATGTGCAACCCGACCCGTACCCGACCCGATCCGAAGGTTGGGTACAGGTACGAAGTTGTCGGGTACAGGTCGGGTACGGGTTCTATTTTTTTTTAACTTACCCGAAAAACGGAAGGTTCGAGTGGAAAACTCTCAAAATTTTAGTGAAAAAATACAGGAATCCAGCTAACATACATTAAGGTTTAAAAAAGAATTACTTGAGAACGTAATGATAATTTGACATGTTCAGCCGAAAAACAAAAGTTTTTAGCTGGAAAACAAAAAGGAGAAATCTTTTAGGTATAAGTCGATTACGGGTCGGGTACGGGTACACAGTTCTCGGGTCGGGTCGGGTACGGGTACAAAGTTGTCGGGTCGGGTACGGGTGGAAAAAAAATTTTCGGGTCGGGTACGGGTACGAAAATGGTACCCGTGCACATCTCTACTGTACATGAACATCCCCTAGTCCGTAGTCATAAAAAGGGGCGTAACAGCATCCACCTGACGACTGAGAGAAGAAAGCTGGAAGGTATTACCGATGGAGGTTGCGAGAGCCGTAGAACCTGTGCCGATAGAAATAATATCCAAACTTAATCGACGATGGCGAGACACAAGGGTTGTGTTACCCTGAGAAATCCGAAAGTGACTTCGATAGTCAAGAGGTAACAGGTTTCATGGGTGAGTGGAAAAATAGCCGAGACAGAGATTATTCGATGGGCAGGAGTATATGATCCGATAAAATTCAAAAAGAGTCCCGTATCGGGATGTGTGAGAGTGCCATTAGAGTGGGAAAAATGTGCCAAAAGCTCGGAAAACTGGATCGAAGAAAAAGCTCTTAAATGTTGTTGAAGATAATGGATACAATAAAATAGATCACAGTGTTGCCAAGAAAAAACATTTTCTTGTATGGAGCAGAGTTGAAGTTGGTTGTTTAACAACTGACAGCTTCACGTTTCGAGAAAATTTGTGAAAAAGTGATGATGTACAGAGAGTTTTTTCTATTTATCTATTCCATAATGAAAAATATAGATCTCACGAAACATTTTATTCATATAGCTATACTTTGGCTGTGTTGTTTCAAATGTTCATATTTCTTTGCATAATTATCATTGATTTCTGAAACTTATTATCGTTGAATATTCGCACTAAAACAAATTCAACTAAAAAACTCCGAACAATTATCTAATTCTGTAATAGCTCGTATAAGACCATTTCTTCTGAAGGTAGCAATCATACGACAATCCAAATATATTTTTATGTATAAATGATATGCACTTCAACATAAAGTCTTTCAAAAAATATAGGTTTGTTTTTATTTTTAGATTCGCGCAAAGGTACTAGCACAGTTTATACTATGTTTACTTCTCCAGAAGCTGTAAAAGCCACCTCACAGATAGTTATTAACATAAAATAAACACCCATTTTACTGTAAAACTTGAAAACATTATTTTTGCGATTATCTAAATTTCTTTTTTCAGTCCAAGTACGCTCAATGTTATCATACACAGGTGTTATAACTCATACCTAATATAACACTTAAATGTATGTGTGCTTATCTAGTAATAATACTAGTAGACAACAGAAAACGGCCATACAAAAGTTTAATTGTTTCGTCGTACCAGTGTTGATCATTTTGAGAACTTGAGATGATTGAATAATGTCAATTCCATGACGTTTCATTGAATCTAATTGATTTTTGATAGAGACAGAATCCACTCCTCGGCAAGCATCTTCTACGAGATATGTTCGATATCCGTAGTCTTTCGCATCTAAAGCCGTAAATGCCACACAATAGTCCGTCGCCAAACCAGATACATAAATATTTGTTACATTTCGTTGTTTTAGTTCTATATTCAGTTTTGTTTCGGTGACTCGATTGTTATCTCGAAACGCAGAGTAACTATCAATATCTCGATGAGTACCTTTGTACACATGTATAGAATTATTTTTTGTTACGATTAAATCACGATGTAAAGCGGCATCTGAAGTGTTTTGGATGCAATGATTTGGCCAGAGAACTTGCTCAGTTTCTACTACTGGACCAATATAATGCACTTTATCAAACGGTCCATTAGGGAGTTTTGATCCATGTTTCACATAGCCTTGTCGATGTTTCAAATTTTTGAAAAATGAAATATGATCAGGTGGATGCCAGTCGTGTGTGTAGACCACAACATCAAACGGAACAGTTTTCAAAAGATTATTGATAACAGGTATCACATCTTCTCCCTTTTGTTTTGCTGGACTATTTGATAAGGCTAATTCACCATTAATGAAACAATTTTGAACATCAATAATTATTAAAGCATTCACTGTTCGTTTTGAAGCAGTCCCTAAAAGCACTAGACAAAATAACTCATTTAGTCAAACTTTAAGAATATTTTTATCAGAATATGACACTAGTTTTGTATAGAGAACATCGCGTGCAAAATTTTGGGGTGAAAAACAAAGATGTATTCAAATATTTACATATTATATTGCTGTCCGTATTCTGAATCGTAATCACCAAATCTGAGTTTGCAAAAGTTCTTGGTGAAAAAAATAAGAGAAAAAAAAATGTGTTCAAAGTTTCGAAACCAGCGCATTATACCTTGATGCATTTGTTTGAAAAGTCATTTTTTGGAATTTCACAACCCATTAGAGAACGGGGTTTTAGATGAACATGACCATTAATGAAAATGTTAAAGAATGTGTTTTGAAACGCTTCAAAAATAAAACAGTGGAAGGTTGAAGTGTTTAACTTTACCTCTAGCAATTACCTATCTTTTGCATTTGGCTACTTCTTTTTTTAGGTTAGACTTGGATTGAATAAAAAGCAATAGAATAATTGAGTAACAGTTCGGAAAAAAAGAAAGTTTACAAAGGCAAGAACAGCTGTCGACAGTTACAATCAAAAAAATTCTTTATACGTGTACGTAATTGACAACGCTGAATCTTTCAGCAATGTTTGATTTGAAAATACATCCAGGAACTTGGGTGAAAATTGAGTTTTACAAAAAGTAGGATAGGGCATCCAGTTTTTTATCACCAGTTTGTAAAGGACACTTTGATATGTATATCCTGAGATTTTTTTCGGTTCCCGTACGTGTAGCTTTCAAGAAAAAACATTATTTAAGAATTTTTAAAGTTTTTTGCCCCATTTTAAAATTTACATAAAATTTATACTTTTCAAGATGAAGACATCTTTTTGATGTCATTCAGTAGAGGACATCAAACTCTAAATACAGAAAAACTGTTGTCGTTCCCGGATAAGACTTGAGGAAGAAATTTAAATTTTACATTTTGAATAGAATTCTACGGCTAAAGTTATTTTGAAGAGAAACAAAGATTTCGCTCGAAACAAGCATTTTAGAATAAAACTCTAGGTATAAAAGTTGTTCAGAATCGAACCCTCTGAATTATGATTTTTGGAATTCCTTAAACTCAATTTTTAAATCAAAAAATACAGTTTTTCCAGTTTTAAAATTTGGTAAATTTTAATGGTCCTCCGCTCATATACCAGAGGATTCGACTCTGAACAACGTTTTTATCCAGAGTTTTGTTCTAAAATTCTTGCTTCGATCGAAACCAGTCACAGAGTGAGATGAAAAAATCTTCGCTGAGCCAAAACCAAAGTTTTGAATTTTTCTTTAAAGTCTCCCCGTTTATAGAGGACAAGTCGAAGTATATGCTCTAAAGTTTTTTCGACTTTCTGCCATTATCTATGTCTGAGAAACAAATTAATTACTTAAAAGAACATTGCTAAGTTTTCGACTTACCAGATTTACTGAGTGATCAAAAAATCTAAACTTCTAATGTAGCCCATCTTGTAGTCCGTGAAGTTCTCTATCAGAATAACATTGCTTTAATTTTTTCATTGAGTCGTTTTTTTGCAAGTGGGACTTTAAACTGGTGAAGTAGACTAAATTAATGTTAAAATTAGCACTAATTAGTCAATAACAGAAAGGAAAGAAGAAAAATTTTTACATATTTTCTCGTAATAATATTCTACACACATTTCTCTATCGCAAGCACTACGCTTTTATGATGAATGGAGAATGGAGAGGAAATATTTTAATAATAGCCTCATGCTAAAAAATTTAACAATATTTTTTTAAGCAATTAATTTTTTTCCCAGTCAGATAATGCCAATAAGGCGAAAAAACTTTAGGATTACTTCGAATTATCCTCTACAAACTGCGAAAGTACTAGGAAAATTTAAACTCCTTCTTAAGCTATTCGTTATGATATTGATAAGAAAATCACAAAAAAAAATTCTAACACTGTCATTTTCATTTTTATATTTATCTTGTGAGCCAATACATTCATTTTTATATTTTCCGATAGTGTGGTTACTTTTAGCAAACAAAATTAACGGTATCCTGAAGTTTTAACTTGTTTGACGTGTTTTTGAATGAATAGCGACTTTTTTATTATTAGCCTGAAAATCCTAATTTTTGTAAAGCTCAATTTTTACCAAGTTTCTGGACTTATTTTCAAATCAAACATTGCTGAAAGATTTAGCGTTGTCAATTACGTATATTTCATGCGATTTCAAGTCTCTTCGATGTCACTGAGTACAAATCCTGAAATTTGAAGAAAATCCGATACCATATCGGAATGTCCGAAAACCGTGGTCTCGCCTGACCTCCATTTTGAACAGAACACTTTCGGCTATCTACTGATACAAACAGACCAATCTACTACCACGCGTTTTTGGGATAACCAGGCCACTTTCTCAGAAGGCAAACTTTTGTTGGGGCTCCTTTCCGAATTATAAGGTTTTCAAAATCAAAATCAAGATTTTACGGGAGGTTTTTATCATTTTTTTATATCTGGAAAAGAAAGACTTAGAAGCCCAAAAGAAAAATTTGTATGCTGAGATATTGTGTCAGATACCGGTGGTAAAATTTCGAACACGATTGGATGAAGTTTTAATCGTAATGTACATGGATGAAAACGGAAGTTTTCTATAAAACCAATAGAAGAACATGTCACAAATTCTGTGCAAAAAAAACACCGATTTTCTTTTCCGATGTTCTAGCTATGCCGCTATAAATCGTGTTTTCGGCGGCTTTGGTTTTAAGACATTGCACGCGTCGGGATGGCCATGCGGTTAGACTATGTCATAAAAAATTTTTATCACTATTTCAATCCTTACCTGTTTGAATAGCAGTTAATAGAAATATGAAAAGTGAAAGTAGAGAAGCATCAGTTGACGTGTGACGCATTGAAGAAACTGAACGAAAAATTGAATGTTAACCTAATTAAACTCTTGCTAAATTACGCCTGATTATTCTGTGACGAAATCGTGTAGCAAGAAAAAATATATACATCAAGAGCTCAAACTGGTTTATTTTTCTTATCTGTTTGTTTTAAAGAAGTGAGATGTTGATTTTGATCTAAACAAATGTTCTGTTCTTCCTCTATATCAAAGTATGTGGAAATCTGTCGAAAAAAGAAAAATCTCTCTTTCTGTTATTGTGATAGAACATCTCATTAACACATTATGGAACTCATATTCTGGAGTTCGTCATGTACTATATTTATTCAGAGGGGAATAATCCTGTTAGAAATACATCTGTCATTCAAATAAATATATTTTTTTAACCATCGGTATCCTTTCTGCATCAGCTCAGAAAAATTAGTTTAAAAATTCTCTGCTTAGGTAAACTGAAAACTGTGTAAAATCGCGTGCTCTATAAAATCCGATCAAAATTAAGTTGAAAAAACAGTGGACCAAAATCAAAGAAAATTGGCTAATCTCCTTTATTTATTTATTAATTCAATATGCTACACGTTGTCATATATTTACTTAACCTTCGTATTAGTGTTTCTGTTCTATCTCGTTTCAACAAAAACATATCTAAAGATCGATTTCCAACCTCCTAGTGATAAGAATGACAGTAAATAAACGAATGTAGCAAAAATGATATTAATCTTAACACAAAAAGAAGTTTGGAAATGGCATATTCTATCAATTTTGAAAAGTGATATCAGTTTGGAAAACGATTTTTCTATTAAGAAAAAAATGATCTCAGTTTGGAAAATGAGCTTTTAGTTTCTATTTTATTAAAATATGGATTCGTAAACTGTATATAATATAAATTATATATACTAGATAAAGTGTATATGTAATACTAGATATATACTAAATAAAGTGTATAATTTATATTATATACAGTTTATGAATCCATATTTTAATAAAATAGAAACTAAAAGCTCATTTTCCAAACTGAGATCATTTTTTTCTTAATGGAAAAACCGTTTCCAAACTGATATCACTTTTCAAAATTGATAGAATATGCCATTTCCAAACTGAGATCAGTTTTATTTCTTTAATTATAAAAAGTGATCTCAATTAAGAAACCTCGGTACAATCATATCCTGATGATGATAATAGTTTAAACATCTAAAGCTCAGTATAACAAATGATTTTTTGAATAAAATTGAAACAATTATGTATTTTGTAGCAGTCTTATACTTTCTTCTTTGATATTAATTTTTATATATGTGTATAACTACGTATTATCTATCGGGATATTTTTTTAATCGGGATATTTATATATCTATCGGGATATTTTTTTAATTTTTTTAGTTTCACAAATTCTTGTCTTTTTCAGAGCCTTTAAGACTTTTCCTTACACATAGTGTGATACAGAAAAGTGTTGTCTACATAATATGACGTCTTCTGAAATTTTCCACTCATTTATGTGGAGATCTAAGCGTTACCGCAAATGTTACCAATGCATTGAGTATTATAGATACCATTAGACAGGTTACTTTTTCCATGGTGTTTGTATCATCGTAGCCCAGACTTTCCTCAATATTAGACTATGTTCAGCTCACAATTAAAAATTTTGTCAAAAAAGAGGAAGAAGGTTGCTCGTAGAGCATCGTCAGGCGAAAATAACTGAAGTATTTGCTGATGTTCCGTTTCATTATCTGAAGATTTATACAGTTGTAGTATGAACGGCGATCTTCGCATGAGACGATTGCAGAAAATATTTCCTCTTAAATCAGCCTTAAATATACATTATCAGACGTAGTTTTTTACGCTCATTACGAATATCGACATTATTTTTTAACAAAAATCTGGTTGTGAATTAAAATATCTATAATTAAATGTTTTAGGGTTTTTTAATTTCGATTGGCTGACCAACTTATTTCTTTCCAAAATTTTATAACCTATGCTGCCAGACGAAGAATTAAATTTTCTACAAAATACACTATTTGCTTTGAAGTTTGAAAATGAGAAAAGGTATTTTATAAGGAAAACAAGGTTTCGCCATTTTTTTGCTAATTAGCACAAATGTTTTATAGCTCTTTTTTTAAAGAGGATTTTCAAAGCGTGATAGTTTTCAACAGCGGAAATTTACAAGTAATACACAAATGAAAAATACTAATAATAATAAAATAAGTCATTTTCCATTGAGATTGTATCATATATCCAAATTATTTGAACGCTGAAACTCGGACTCATCAAGTATTTGATTGATACGCAAATAGTGCCACTACTCATTCTCATAATCGAGATGAAACAGCCGGTATCAGAGGCGTATCTGCCTTTCGTGAAGTTCTGGATGTACCGTTACCTCATGCACTCGGAATTGATCGCATGCACACGATTTTTTTGTGCCATAGCAAAAAAATTAATGGAATTAATTCAATCATCTATGACAACAGAAGATATAAATCGTATATCACAAAAACTTCGTCATCCTTTGCATATTCATATACAAAGACGACCACATGGTTTCGATACTGTCCACAAATGGAAGACCAATGAAATAAGAGTATTTATTTTATACATTGGCCTTCCATTATTGTGTACTGTAGCATTAGAGATTTTGTTATGTACGTTGTTATACAACGTCTTTTTGCAAGATAATTCGATTAAAAACCCAAACAGAGGCCGTGCTTTTTCACCATTAATCAAACTCTACATCGAAAATTTAGATGCTAAAAAAATTCAGATGTTATACCATCAGAAATAGGGACAATAACAACACATACACCCACTCATTTGCCGCCTCATTGTTTCAAGTTTGACCGGCTTGATTGGTTAAAGTATTTTGTTTTTGAATCTTTCCTAGGTTTTTTAAAATCGTTTGTTAAAGGCTCCGCTGGAGCAGGGAAGCAAATAACTTTTGGCTTTTCGAGTAATTTTGCGTTAAAAACATTCTATGACAAAAGAGCGATTTTGCTACAATAATTTCAACATAAGTTTGTAATTTCAACAAAAAAAATTGTATGGTAGTAATATTTTAACAGACACAACCTTTCGAACTGTTAAAAAATGTGCGCTATCAAAACAATGTTCGGTTCGATCCTCTTTTTTTTTTGCTTTTTTTCGCAAATGCATCGTTACATCGTGCCAATGCAACATATGATTCATTTTTATATAAACATAAGGGAATTGCTATAGTTATTTGATTTCATTTGAAACGAATAGTTTGCACCTCTGTCTGTAGAAGAAACTACAATCATTTTTATGTGCCACTATAGCAATCGAGATACCTGACAAGTATTTGTCCAATACACCAATACATTTAGGAGGACAAACTTTGAAAAAAATGCATTATATATCATTTTGTAGCCCTCTCTCTCGAATGGTGTATAGTAGTCAAACAGTCATTCAGTCTGTTCAGACAGTCATTGCCTCTAGAAATATCAGTTTTCGTCCATTTTCGCATGAAGTACCCCTCGGCATGTTGATTTCGAAGCTACTGGTTCATCAACAAATTGATTTTATTCCATCTACATCTTACGCTCTTCAAAATCATCCCGGACAAGGACGTCTCTTATTACTAGCTATTTTGCTGTGGTTCTCTCTTCGCAATTTCCCTTTTTCATCTATAAACTCACCACTATTCCTTTTTATCATCAGAACAAGACTGTTCGCCTTGCTCATATACTCTCTTATCTTGCAGTGAATCCTCGAGATAATGCTAGTATTGAGTGGTACCCTGAAGATCTCTCTAACTATGATTTTAACCTCATGGCAACTTGTCGCGATACTTGCACTATCTCTACCAATATCTGTTTGACACAGATTCGCCATCACCGACCTCTAGGTAACTATTTTAGCGAAAAGGTTTCAAGTGCTCCCTTCTTTGTTCATCAACTATACGGTCCACTCTGGACCGTATCTGCTGCTGAAATCCTACATTGCATTAAAGTTTCCACATTATCGTCTCCCTCAAGTAGTCACAAAGTCTGCTAAACGAGCCTTTGATTTGCCCCCGGTCGCGCTGGTTAATGTTGCTTTCGTATCCTCGATTGCTTGTCCTGGCTTCACTCTCACGAGTCGTTCAACATCCCTTAGTCCTCAAACGTTCAGTATTTTTCACAACGGCACCTTTTTCTTATCTGACTCTGAAGTTTTTAATCTACATTCTGCACTGAATAATACCCTCGCCTGGTCCAAAGTTACGTACTTATCCTCCAATTTGGATCATCTTTTACATTATTTGCATCAAACTTTTCCTACTCCATTTTATCATCATTCAAAACACCGTATCGTTTATCTTCGCCATCATTGCTCCTTGCAGCTTTGATTCTTCTGTACTGCGTCACGGCGGTTCTTTACATCACTTGCAATTCTTTAAAGCGTATAATATTCCCTCAGCTTAAAATTCGTATTTCTGACGGTGTTGCTCTACCTAAAACCGCACCGCAATCCTTAATGTTCTTCCTGCATTGCATTGTGTGTCTTGTCTACTGGTTTTTGTGTTGTGTTTTTCAGGTCCATATCACCAGAACAAAAAAAATAAAGTTGGTTTAGAGTTGCTGAAAAGTGATTTTTCGTATTCAGCACACTCGATAACCCAGACGATTTCCTATTTTTGGTTCGGGGTACTTCTGAAAGTTTAAGAAAAATTTTGAAATAAAATGGCGCAAAAAGTTTTCCACGGAAAAATAATATTAATTTGAAAACTTTTCCTAAACTTTCGGAAGTACCTCGGGCCAAAACAGAAAATCTTCTGGGTCATCGAGTGTGCTGAATACGAAAAATCACTTTTCAGCAACTCTAAACCAACTTTATTTTTTTCCGGTGATATGTACTCTTTTAATTTCGTTTTAATCCTCTTTTATTTTTTCCGGTATTCCGGTTCCTTTTTCGTTCTTTCATGTCAACTACCCAATCCACCGACGTACGCTCCTACGAGGTCCGTCTCCTCGCGCTATGGCGTGCCATTCGAGCAGCATATGTCTCTCATCTCTCTACTATTTCCTCGATTGAGGACACTCTCACTCAAATACGCTTTTGACTTTTCGGCAATTATATATCTTCTCACAATTACTCTGACGCCCTCGAATGTATCGATAAATTTGAACATGCTCCTACCTCCGCTTTTGATCGTCGAAATAATATTAATTCCGACGAACTTCTCCCCATTGTTTGGTATACTGTTCAGCTCCTTTCCGAGCTATACTCCTTGTATTTTGAACAGCTAATGGATATCAATGATGGCGCATGTCCCCAAAGCAAACTCTCTCGTTAACAACCTTTTGTGACACCATTTATGGTTGTAATACGTTCGTTTACTACGACAGTATTAGGGAACATAGGATTACGAGTCGTAAATCGATTTTACGGGCGGTGTTGAATCACTTAATGTAATGATTAAGTTTCCATAAACTAAAGTCAAGGAAAAAAGCTGCTCCCAGCTTTTAAGTGGTTGATTTTCTAACCAATAAAATATGTCTCAGCTACTGAGCTGTTGAAAATCGATCATAGAGTCGAACTTCGCGATCAAACAGCGGACGTCGAGTACTAGAGTGAAGCAGTAAACAATAGGAAGAATAGTACACGAATTTACGGTAAAACTGTCATTCTTCTCTCAACTTTGATTATGTTTGCCAGCTGGGCTAGCATGAGCCGCATACTTGTTTTTAAGTCTTCTCAAACAGTTTATAGCTCAACCTTTATTAACATATGATTTAGCGTACCAGAACATGTTGCTGGACAGTCTTCTGTTAACGCTTGTAAACCATACTAGACATTTTTCATAGATTAGGCTTCAAAAACAGCTAATATTGATCACAAAGAAACGTGATTAGACGATTAACCTGCGTTTGTTTCGGATTTTAACTTTTGAAGTGGATGTTTATCGCGTCTTATTCTAACGACAGAATTACATGGTGAGGTATATACGAAAACCAATTGTGTTTATTTAAGATAAGCAAGTGAATTATTAAGATGTCTACCAAATTTGAATCCGTGGCTAATGAACTATTTTTGGAAATCTTCGATTATTTGCCTGTTAGTGACGTAATGAATTCATTTTTTAACTTAAATGAACGAATAAATCTGATATTAAAATCGTTGAAGATGCATATAGATTTGTCAAATATTAGTAAGCAAGAATTCAGCTACTATTGTCGAGTTATGCTACCAAAAATCAACAAACAAATAGTCTCAATAAAATTATCAAATATTTTGACACTCGATAGTATCAAACGTTTTAGTACAATAGTTAAAATTGAAAAATTCACGCAGTTGAATAAATTAGTGCTCGTTCAAGTAAAATTTGTTGATTTGAAACATATTCTATCAAAACTAAACAATTTAAAGACGTTAATCATCATGTCAACAGATTATTCGGGTTTAGATACAGAACGGTTAAATATTTTAAAAATGATATTTGAATTAAAGTCTTTGAAAAAATGTCATTTGCCTGTTATCGATGTATCAGATTTAGACGATTTAAAAACATCGAATATTGAACAATTAGCCGTTGATCATTGTACAATGAGCTGTTTAGGTATACCCTCAGACCCTCTGACAAAGTTAAATGTATAATATTTAAGTGACTTTATTTTTTCAGGTAAATTATTTTCTTACATTCCACATATTCAACGTTTAAGTGTCAATGTTTATGCTGATATGCAAAACTTGTCACCAATGTATGAAGATAAAAACAATGTTCCCAGTTTGACATTTTTGACGTTAAACACGAATGATATTCCATTTGGGCAAGTGGAACTGTTACTATCATCTAGAAATTTATCTCAGTTACGTCATTTGTCATTTTCATTTAAAACTTATTCATGCAATGGTCGTTATTTAGACTATGTTGATAGTCAAAAATGGGAATCTATCCTCTCGTCATTGTCATTGTTGAATCGATTTAAATTCCATATTGAAATTCCTATCAATAAATCTGTTGATATCGACACTTTATATTTAACATTCCAGCGTGACTTTTATCATCAACGCAAATGGTTTATTGATTTTGATATGTATTCTTATTTATATGATTATATTCTAACCATACATACTAGACCATTTTCTCAAAAACATATTCGTACAGGTTTACAAACAAACGGTATTTATCATCAAGTTAAAAATTTACAATTAATGATTGACTCTCAACGGCAACGACACTCTCAGACACCACCACGTAAATATCCAAATGTAACATCATTAACGTTGATTGCTGCTAAACCTATTGATGAATCTTCTGTATTATTCTATCTTTCTAAATCTATTCAATTTGAAAAATTAACTCATCTAAATATTCAGTTTGACAATTGTTCAAAACAACTATTATTAATGTGTCTTATGAAATCGCCAAACGTATCTTCGTTAATTTTATCTGTGAAAAACGTATGGTCCAAAATAGTGGAAGACAATGTGTTGTTGGGTTATTTAAAAAAGATGATTAAAACATTAGTACTGTATCACGAGTTTGAAAGAATTTGTTCGACTGACGGTTTCCTAGATACATTTTCAAATATAGAATCTCTTACGTTGACAATAAAAACGATAGATGAGTGTTATTATCTGTTAACATCATTGTTACTAGACAAACAGATAAAAAAGTTAATGTATTTATCTATTCAGTTGCATGGTGGTGAGCAGTTTGAACCAGACATAATGGCACATTGGATAAAAAACAATATATGGAAAAACGTGACATTTAAATGTAGTTCTTCGACTTTAGCTCTTTGGTTATAATATTTATTGTATATAATCTTATAAAATCAGTAATTTTTATTGGTTTTTTAATTGTTTGAACTAACATGTATTTTCAATTTGTTGTTTTTTCGATTACATTATATTAAAAATTAATAAACTAGATGTATTCTTCAAATCATCGTACTATCAACTGTCCCAAATTAATGATCAGAAAAGTTTTTGACGTATCCGCTGCATAAAAATAATCTGTTTTTTTTATTCGACGCAATATCATCTTGCGTAATAATTCTACGATATCCATTAAAAGATCTTAAGGGTTAAATTTTGGTTTTAAAAAAAGGAAAATCTTCGCTGAATATCTGATCGTTTGTCAAATATTTCAAAAAAAATCACTTGACAACTATTGATGAAATTGGTAAGAATTACATTTTGCTTCTTATTTAATAGCATCTCGAGAAAACTTCCTCTGGGACGAGTCAACTCATCTTACGAGGATGTGTTCATTCATCGTGGTGCACATTTTTATCAAATATAATATATTTGATATCTTATATGTATTATCAAAAATGTTTTTCTTGAGACTAATCGACTCATCTTCGATGGATAGGTCAATTTATCCTTCAACTTTTTCGTCTGATGAAAAATGTAAATAAATCAATCGACTACAGGATGGATGATTCATCAGAAATTTCCCCGTAGTGTAAACTTCGTTTGTGGTTTGCCATTTTTATACTTCAGCGACTCAACTGTTGCTGCCCTTTGCAATTCTGGAAAAAAGATCTATTATTCTCGGTAAGAGAACACCAGACAAATAAGATTAGAAATACTTTCTTTCGTATAACAAATCAAATTATTACCTTTCACTGTGTTTATTTTCAGACTATTTTACAATGTATAGAGGTTGTTTAATGCATCTAAGGTTCGTTTTTTAACCAATCAATGTCGACGATGACTCATCACGTATAAATAACATGTATCTTGATCATCTCATTTAATTTTTATTTCAAATTAAACTGCATTTTAAATTATCAGTGGATTCAAGCGAGTGCAAGATGACTACCCACTTTGAAAATTTGATTTCTGCTCTGTTTTAAGCCGGTAAAATATGGAAAATGTGTTGTAAGCTGTGGAGATCTACTGCACTTAAAATTCTCATGAAATATTGCTTTTGAAGAGATGTGTTTTCAATTCAAGTTAGAATTATTATAGAACTATTTATATTGACGGATAGTCAGTTCATTTCTAAGAGGTTTGAACTATGTCCTTTTGAGATTTATCGTTATTCTCGCTTAGCTTGTTTCCGACAATATGTACAATTTTTGCTGAGATAAAATATGCGAGATCAATTATTTGTCTGCGAACGATATTGATCAATAACCAAACGACCTCCGTTGTAGAACAATTCATGTTCGAAGCGTCTATGTATTAAATGGTTATTTTCATCGCCTAAAACGTCAAATAGATTTTTTGTTTATGAATCTTCTTTACATGTTTATTATTTACCTAGATAGAAGCTTTTTAATTTTTAAAATAAAAAAATGTCAAAAGTGCAAAAACAACGTGTTCAGACATTTGGTCGTAAGAAGACAGCAACTGCTGTTGCCGTGTGCCAGTCAGGTAAGCAAGAAGATAACTAATTTTGTCGCTTCTAGGATAATTATTTCTGTTTTTATTTAGGTCACGGTTCAATTCGAGTGAATGGTCGTCCACTTCATCTAGTTGAACCACAAGTATTACGTTTTAAACTAGAAGAACCAATATACCTACTTGGAAAAGAAAAATTTTCAAAAGTTGATATCCGTGTACGTGTTAAAGGTGGTGGAAGAATTGCACAAATTTATGCTATTCGACAAGCAATAGCCAAATCATTAGTAGCCTATACACAGAAATTTGTTGACGAAGCAACAAAAAAACAAATTAAAGATACACTTGTACAATATGATCGTTCTTTACTTGTTGCTGATCCAAGACGTTGTGAACCAAAAAAATTTGGTGGACCGGGTGCACGTGCAAAATATCAAAAATCATATCGTTAAACAATCAACAACAACAAGAAGATCAATTTGTAATATCAGTAAAAATTATCTTTTTGTTATTTTCCTTTTTGTATGGAAAAATTGTTTTGTTTAAAAACAGCTATATGATGATGATAATTTAATAAATAAAACCGGGACGATCTTTTGACATCAGAATGTAACTTTTTATTTCATTAAAAATATGGGATGAATTTATTCTGATAAAGACAATTGTTATATCGTCATCATTCGTTTTCCGAATAGCAAGAGTTTGTTTTTATTGGTATTTTTCTGATGGTCTCTTTTACCCATTATTCCTTATGACTACCTTGGAAATGAATATAAGTTTATATATTTTATTTGCAATTTTACATATAGCATGTTGTAATTCAATTAAATGTGCTCATACACATTTGACGAGGGGAACTTTTAATATTCCACTACCAGAGTCTTTTTAGCCACGTAGTATCATCACGTAAGTAAAAAGATTTCTACCTCTTTCTAACTGGTTTTAATATTTAAAACTATTGATTCTTCTCGAATTCTTGCTTTGATATATTATTAAGGTGCGGGAAATTCAAAAGATGAGCACTGTTTTTTTTCACTTAAATCATATATCCTTTGAAAGAGCGCATCGAACTGAATACGAAAAAGTTGGTTTTAACTTTTCGAAACATTTTTTTCCTGTCAAAAAATCTTAAAAGCTCAAGGAGTCTGCTTATGTTATCTCATCTTCGTTGGACAACGAGCTACAAAAGTATATGTCCTTTAATTTTGCTTCATCGCTGAGAAATTTCGCCATTTCTGCCAAAATGGGGTTCGTATTTCGCCACTTTATCTATAAAAGTTTAACTTTTCGTCAAAAATAAGGTCATATTCAAAATCAGCGTCAAAAACTGAGTCGACTGATGTGAGTTGTCGGATTTTTGGACAACTTCGATTTACGACCCCCAATTCTGGTCTTTAGTTTTTTGAAAAAATTGAAAAACTCGAAAAAATACCAAGTTGTCTAAAAATCCGACAACTCACATCAGTCGACTCAGCTTTTGACGCTGATTAAACTTTTATAGATAAAATGGTGAAATACGAACCCAATTTTGGCAGAAATGGCGAAATTTTAACAGAAGTGAAATTTCTCAATTCAACAATCATTTTTAGAATCAGTTTTTGATGCTAAATCAGAAAAAATTTGTTTGCAAACTTGAAAAGAACGATAAAGAGAATTTGAACTACTTTAAAAATAAAGGCCTTTTTCGAAAAATTCGATCCTTCTAGTTTTAAAGATTTTTCGACAGGAAAAAAATGTTTCAAAAAGCTAAAACCAACTTTTTCGTACTCAGTTCGATGCCCTCGTTCAAATGATGTATGATTTAAATGAAAAAAAAATAGTGCTCATCTTTTGAATTACCCGTACTCTATCTCATTATAACCACGTAAATGAAGGAACATTTTATTCTAAAAAAATGTCTGAAATATACGAAAGAACTTTTCAAAAAATTTTAAATTATATTTATAATTAGAGAGTCTGATGATGTGAAAGTGTAATGAATATTTTTTCCAAGTCTAGCCAACAGAAATCTTATTTTAAAAATAAAATTCTCGACAGTTTTGGTTTGTGTAACTTTTACTAGCTTTTCAGACATATTAGATTCTGTCCTTTGAACTTTATTATTTTTTTGTTGATGCTTATATAATAGATTTTGTGATGATTTCAAAAAAGCTTCGTTCATATGAAATTTGTCAAGAATCTCGTTGTATTGATGATCCCTGTTCAATTTGTCTTCACTGTAATCTTAAATTATGTTTAAAACATCTCAATGAACATCATGACATTGAATACAAACGTTTGATTAATGATATCGACGAAAAAAAGATACTTTTAGAAACAAATCAACTTCAGTTTGAAGATAATCGTCCTCTATTGTATGAAAAATTGTCTCGATGGCATGAAGAACAACTAGAGAAATTGAAACAAGTTTATGATGATAAATTGATTGAAATTAATTTAAAATATGCTGAAGCTCAACAAGAACATGAAGAATTAAAATCTCAGTGTTTAAATAAATTAAACGATCTTCATTCTCAAGAGAATTCAAAAGTATTCACATCGAAATTAAATCGTTCAATTAATATGTTACAAACATTGGCAGTTGATATTGATTTCAAAAATATTAATTATTCTTCGTTTATTCATGTACGAAAACCCTGTTGTATTATTGATGAACAAGAAGAAAAACCTGATTTGGAATGTGCATTAAATCAAATATCAAATAGAACAAAAGAATATTCATTTGATATTAATCCATTATGTTTTGATTCATCATCAGACTTGTTATTAATTCAAAAATCGAGTGATCAATTTGCAATGTATATTGAACATGGTGAAAAATATTTAAATATTAAATATGATAAAAAGCAACATGGTGATATAAATGATTTGACATGGTGTTCACATTTAAATGGATTTATCATAGCTACTCAAACAAAATTATTAAAATTTAATTGTTTAACAACAAAAATATCTCCCATTCATGAGGTTGATAGTGGAATTTTTAAAGGTGTAACAACATATAACGAACATTTATGTCTTATACATTCTTTAGGTTCATTAGGTGATGTATTAGAACATTGGGAAATGAGTGATGGTAGAAAACTAACATTGATAAAACGATATTGGAAAGAAGATTTAATGTCTGATCAAATTGATAGACAAATGCGTCTGTTTCGAATTAAAATGAGTGGATACTTAATGGCTATTGATGTTTTATTTACGTCTGTTATTTTGATATGTGATGTTAGAAATAATATGACATGTTTAAATCGAATTAATACAGGATCATTAAATATAACGTCAATATCGTCTGTATTTGATACAAATCAATGGTTATGTTGTACATATAATGAAGAGAATGAAGAAAGAAAATTGTGTTTAATCGATGGTAATGATACTAGTAGAAACGAAATGATCCAACTTAAAACTCCAGTTGATATTCAGCCAATAAGTCTACTATTATTCGGTCATCACCATATTGTTTTAAATCAAGTCATAAAGAATGATGAAGAAGATGTGAGATTTGACTGTTATAAAATTAAACTGTAATATATAAGTTTTAAAACTGCAAAGATAACTTTTAGATTGAAAAAGTATAGTTTTTTCCTGTCTACTGATTTTTATCGTAACTGTTTTTGTATTATTCACGTTTTTTTTAAACTTTCTTCAGTATCTTTGTATCTTTATTTTTCAAAATCTTTGTAATTAAAAAAAGAGAAGATATATGATATCTAGACAAGAAATGAACTAACAAATTTAATGCGTTTTATCTGCTTAAGATAAAGTGAAACAATTGAAGGAATTCGTGGCTACTTAAGTCTGTTTGCGTATAACGTTCATGTAAGTCATATTTGAGTGAACGAAATCTTTCTGAAGTTTGTTTCTTGTTCATTTTAGATAGAAGTCAGAATCTGTCCAGAATTGAATCCGCTTTATATTAGAAAAGTTATTCCTTTTATATAATGATAAATTGCCCGTTAGTCTCCTCAGAAACTGATAAGAAGTTTAGAAAATTCTTAGTGTACTGAAACGCATTTTTTTAAATGCTTTTTTTTCTTCATTTCAAAGTCTGATTGTTTTGATGCTACTCGGTGGATTTGTGAACAATATGTATGTCCGACTGATTATTTATAATTTATATTTACACTCCAAAGAAAATAACACGTTTTCTAAAACAAGCAAAACAGTTACAAAATATTAAATAATAGTTCGAATCTAGTAAAATCAGAAGTTTAGAACGTATTGAATATTCATGTGAGAATGAGCCCGATGGTGGTGTTTCTAAACACACATAGACTCATTTACGTATGTCTGGAATTGAAATAGTGCTACATTTCGTTGATAAGCGCACATATTCTGTATTCAACAACGACAAAGCACAAAACTAGAATAAAATTATCATCATCTTATGGCACGATATTATTCGAGGTGAAAAAAGAATAAATAAATTTAAAGATTGAAAAGTACGTCGACCTGAGTTGTTTGATGAGTTATAAGAAGGATCAAGGATTGCAAATGTTAATTTAAAAAAGGATGGGAGACGGATGACGCATAGTTCACTTTCAAAAGAAAAGTGGCATAAACTTTGGGATTAAGCGTGCAATTTTATCTCGAAATATCGACTACGTCGGTGATAGAAATTCTGGTTTTCTTCTGGTTAATACGATGAATGGTAAAATGTTTCGAAATTACCATGATTGAGTTAATCAGTGCAATATTCTGTACTCGAAACTATTTTCTCTTGTAGGTGAAGAAACCAATCGTTGCTTTCATCTCATTAACCCTAGTAAGAAACCTATAAGTTTCCTGATAGGACCCCTGGGAAATCCTGGTAGGATCCTGTTAGGATTTAGCTTGCTATTCGATAAGATCCTAGGATCCTAGGAAAATCCTACATAATCCTAAAGAAATCAGGTATACCCGAAAGTCGTAAGATTTGCTAGGGTCCTATTAGGATCCGAATACACATTTAAAACAGACTCTTATATATCTTATTACTTCAACCTGAGATTATCTATCCTTCTTTATTAAGAAAAAAAGTCCTGGCAGGATGTTAAATGTTAGGATCCGCTCGAGATTCCTGACAGGAACCTAACATCAAAGATCCTGCCAGGAACTTATTAAAATCTTAAACTGATCATAATAGGGTCCTAAATATTTAGGATCCTAGTAGGAAACAGATAAGAAGTGCATAGGATTTTGTCTAGGGAAGAAGAACATAATTCTGCGGTTACAAAGAAACTGACATATCACATACCGCAAAAACTTGCTGTTTCCACTTAATACTGAAAAATTTACTATTCACTTAGAAGATACCGGAACAAGTTAAAAACTCCACGATGTACATTACTTAGGGTATGGTATGTGATATTTATAAGAAATCTACAGAAAAGAATTATAAAACTCTCCCCTTTTTAAAAAGACTTTTAGAAGGCATCAGCGAACAAACCCATAATTTTGTGATTTTTCAATGGTATGTTTACCTTTTGTGGACATAATTAACCCCTGGAGCTTTTAACTTGTTCTGGTATCTTCTAAGTGAATAGCAAATTTTCCAGTATTAGGTGAGAATAGAAAGTTTTAATGGCATACCCGCCTATGAAAAAATCTGTGTTTTCGTTACAAATTTTTCGAGGGGGGGAAGTTTAGGGACTTACTCCCAGTTTTTGGAACAAAATTCTATTTGTGACAAAAGTGCTCACCAAAAAAAAAAGTTATGAACAAAAATTTCTCTCGTTTAACGCTTTTTCTAACTTCTTTCTACTTTTGTTTAACTATCATCAACAAATATTTTAACATTTCGAGATTCTGCTCTTGTAGAATTAGCATAAAAATTAGAAACTTTTTTTAAAAATATAACAATTTACAAATACCGCATCTCCTTTTTAATTGATAAACTGAACCTTAAATATAGATCTTTTCGATTCTTTTGTGTCATAGCTATAATGAAATAAACGAGGAAGGAATTCCCCCCTTCCCCCCTAATAGAAAACTCTGCAGATAGTTAGATAGAAAATTCGGTTTTAGAGTCATACTGATGATGCTATGGAAATGTTTGTTTTCAAGTAGATTTCGTCGGATATGATCAACCGGAAGTGCTCGGAAAGGCCGAGGTCATCGAATAAGATGGTTTCGATGGGTTTTGAACACATTGAAGAAATAAAATGCGGTCAGTCGATTTCAAATCTTATGCACACGAGTCCTTTACGTTTGATTCACGGTATTCAAAGGGAAAGACCATCTAAAAGAAATTATATTCTAAGATGCTTACGGTTAAACAGTATTTGTAATTGAAAGATGCGAATCTCTTTGACAAACATTTTTTGTCTCCAAAAGTATTATTTGTTATCCAATAGACTAAAGATGCAACTGGCATCTGAAAAAACAATTGAGGAATAGAACAATGATTTTTTGCTAGCAACAATACAATTTGATCAGCTGAAGACACTCTCATAATGAAATGTAAATCTGCAATCAGTTGAGTGCATCTGTGGACTCTACATTTTCCAAAGAAGGAAAAAGTTAAATACCTTCCTTTCTTATCGTTCATAAAACGTAAGTATCGAAAAAAAAGATGAAAGACTAGATTGATCATGACGTTGTTTTAATGTTTAACAATTGTTTAACATTTTTATTTTGCTTTTTCTCCGATTTATTAAATGATCGGTTCTCTTATATGTATGCATTTAATATCTTCCAATTCTTCGTTTTTCTCCCCCTGTTTTTATCATTATTTTGTAATAAAAAAAGAGAAATACTCTTTTCATTGGCATAAGATTTTTCCCCATTTGATTTTGATACATCTTCATATTGCGTATTGGTAAGACACTGTCGATAAACAAATATCTCAATATAATATTAACTATCAACAAGCAAAATATGCTAAATTTAGAAAAAAATATCACTGTAAAAATCGATAAAGATTAATAAAAAGAAAGATAAAACGTGATCTAGCAAAATGGTATGTATTTTTGTTTCGACGTGATGATGTGCGATTGATGACCTTTAACAGCTTATTGACTGCAAAAAATGATTTTTTTCAGTCTCAGTTCCAGTATGAAAGATTCACATGAACATTTAAAAACTTTTTATTCTTCATTGTTTACGTGGATGATATCCCAGGTGATAGAATCGTACTATCCGATCGTACAAGATCGTATACGAATCGTACGAAATCATATAGGATATTATGTACGATTTACATACGAATCGCGGTGTTTGATTTGTCCTCTGGTTCGTACTATACGATTTCATACGAAGTTGTATGACCGTATATGATCTACTACGATCGTATTATACGATCCAGAGGACAAATCAGATACCACGATTCAGATATGATTTTCATACGATTTGGTACGATTTTGTCTGATTCAGATACGATCGTATACGATTTGTTTGACCTGGGATATGTAAAATTTCGATCGTTTTCTTAAACCTAAGTTAAATTTTATTACGTTATTTAGATTTATGATTGTATACGCAAACATTTTGGAGTTATTATAGTTATCGTTACATTTATTAGTCGCTGTGTTTTTGTTGGTTTCTGTTGGAGTTATGGCACCGTTATTGTTGAATTAAAGAAAAATTCATCACTGACAGATACTGAGCTCAGTATGTACAATAGAAACACAATGTTAAAATACAAAAAATAATTAATTTTCTGAATGTTAGGTTGGATTGGAAGTTTTGGTCAAACTTTGGGTGGTGTATTGGCACCGCTGATACTTTATTTAGTAACTCATTGTGGTCATCAAATAATATTTATTTTATCCTTACTAACATGTTCATTCTCACTTTTATTATCATCCAATATTAAAAATATTCACTTGTTATTTTTAACTTACTCAGTACCATACGGTTTTGCAAATGCTTCATTAGTGATCATCGGTACACTTCTTACAGGCATCTATTATCCACCAGAACATGAATATCATCTATTGACTATATGTATAATTTCAACAGGTTTTCCTATCGGATATCATCTAATGAGTGCAATTATATTTAAATGGATTCAAAATGATGGATGGATGGAAATGAATCGTCGAATTGGAATAATAGAGTTTATTTTAACTATTGTACTTGGATCATTATTTTCATCCAAATATATTTTAATATCACAAACTAATACAGAAACGGAGAAAAACATACGTAAATTTTTTTCAAAAAAAATTATCTATTGGATGATTGGAATATTTACTTCAATGTGTTCAATTAGCAATTTTTTATTACATCTTGTAAGTATAAAAGTTTAATTTCTCTCTTATATAATTTGATTCATTTTTTACTCGTTATAAAGCACAGTCAACTTGAAATATTAAATATAACGCCTGCAAAAGCCGATTTATGGTTTCGATTACATGGATTATTTGATGCTTTATTTCGTTTTTCTGTACCGTTTATATTAAAATATTTTCCAATTAAAATTATTTATTTATTTTCAATTGCTGCATTTTCTGGTATGTTTTGGCTCATCATTACGTTTGTCTTATTATACAGTCAATATGCTATGTTGTCTATCATATTCATCAGTCGTAAGTAACGTAATTAATTGAACAATAAAATATTTTCTGGTTTTGTTCGTCTTTCTATTTCTTTTCTAGTGTTCAGTTTTACATCAGCAGTCGTTACATCACTTCAATATACCGTATCAAGCAAGTTATTTGATAATAATTTAAGAGAACAAGGCTATTGTTATCATGTAATTGTAACAAGTTTAGGCACACTTTTTGGTCCTATCATTGGTGGTAAGACATACTACTTTCTAGAAATATGAATATAGTCTATTTAAACTTTCTTTATTCACTAGGTTTGCTGGTGGATTTTACGGGCAGTTACAAAATTTTAATTCCTACATCGATTATTTTATTATTTATAAGTTTTATCGGTTTTACAGCAAATATTTTCATAGATAACAGTATTCCGGAGTCAACTCATTATCATAATCAAGTACAATCCAATCCGAATAACATGGAACAAAATTGTTTAACAGAAAGAACGAATCCAGCCCATGATAATTTCGGCTATAAAAATTAGAAATAAAATGTGCTCGTAAGTATACAAAATAAGAATAGGGCTATTGGGAGATGAAAAAGTATGTAATTTGTTACATGGGATTAGTCTATATGAACTTTTTTCTCTTAATACTAAATAAATTCTTTAAGTCACTTATTTTTCTACATATAAAGCATCAGGCATACGTCAGAAATACAGATTTTTCTATAAACCGACGACACACAGTGAGCATTCAGGTGGAAATTTAGAAAAAAATAATGAGCTTGCTTTTTCGTAATTTAAATAGTGTTTCATATACTTCGTGTGATGACCGATTTAATGGCGAAAGAATTTTTATTCTACAACTTTTCCTTCTATAAAAGATTTGAAATGCAAAAACAAGATTGAAGATTGAAATGCAAAAACACAGTCAGACGAATACGAAATTAAAAAAATTTTGTTTTTCGAGTGAAACTTAAGAGTTTTGGAATGAATTCTTTCGAAAACGCTCTAGGCTGTAAAGGCTCTCTTCGGTATTTTGAGAACGCGCAGCTTAGCGCAGGTCTGAACTAACATATTTTTATACCAAAATGTTTCTCGCGAGGCCGTGCATCTATGATGAATGCGCAAAAGTGTTTTTCTGAAGTTTTTTACTTCAAATACAATTTTTTCCGAACAATATATACATATTAGGAATCAGCGTGAAAAACGGCATCGAATAATGTATAGTTTGTTAGTTTTACAAATAAAACATTTTTTGATCAAAACTCATGGCAAGGTCCCCCTAAGGAACTTTTTGTCGAAAAAAATTTTTTTTCAAATTCGACCTTTTTTACTTCTACTAATATCTGACACATAGTAAGACCATATTATGCTAAAATAATCATTTTCTAACTCAAAAAGTCAGATGTCCGCCTGCTCTATGGGAAAATGCCCACTGTGCGCCATTTACCTAAAATGCCTTCTCTTAGAATTCGTACTATTTTTGCCAATATCCAAAGTTCTCTTTTCATTTTACGACAATGAATTGAAAATATTTGCCAAACGCTTGAAGAAAGTATGCAAGTAGTTATTACCTCTAGCTCAAGTCAATATCGTATTTCGCATAACATTTACATAAGAAAGCGTTTTTCTTCCCTAACAGAAGGAGCCAGATGAGAGAAACAGAATAAAAAATTGATATATCGAATACTGTGCAAAGATTATAACAAATATTACTACGGAGAGAAAGGGAGAGAAAAATCAATTCGAATGAACAAACATCAAACTAATAGTCGAAACGACAAATAGCCATGTCAATTAGGATAAACGCTCGTGCGATTTCTCCGGTGTTTATACATGAAGACTCGAAGGTGAGTAGAGACGACATATAATCAAGAAGGTCTGTTCGCACATTTGAGTCAGGCAACTCTCTGAATGAAGTGAAACACAAATTGAGAATTTTTGCACGATTTTATTTCTCATATCCTAAATGAGCATTTTTCACTTGTTATTTTGTTTTCCTGATTATAACAAGAGTATTCGTTGAAAGCTCGAAATTAAACTCGGTAGATTTTAACAAAATCAGAACAAGATGTATTTTGTAGCAATATTTTACTCCTTTTTTCATCAAGAACAGAAATTTTTGTTACTTTTCTGCAATAAACAACTTAAAAGTGGAATGAAAAGAAGAAAAATGATAGCGATTCTAAATCATACTCTCATATATTATAGATAAGGACGGTTTACTCCATAACAATGTGTTTACCTAAAAAGCAATTAAATTACTCGTATTGGCAACGAAATATAAGCAACAGATTTAGTGGCAGTGGTAATTTCACTAAGATTTGAGCTGTCTTACACAGAAACTGTTACCATTCTATTTTGGCCAGCTGCACATGAATGATGCCGACGATAGCTAATCTCCTTGTTCATATTCAGGATGTCGACATGAATTAACGGCGCACTCATCAGTATTCATCCGTTTGTCTGACGAGCATTTTGAAACATTCGGAATGTTTTCTATAATAAGAACAGCCCCAATACGTGTCAACAATCGAATCATTGATAATGGGAGAGCATGAAGTTTGAATAGTGTTTGCCTAAAAGTGAAATCAACAAAAAACGTTGAATATCTATAAACATATATACATAGCTATTCATCGGAATATCTACAACTCTTGTACCTGACATGATTCATATAGCCCTTTTAACTTTTATGGCCTATATAACTCTTATAACGATCATACCAGTCACAAAAGTTCTATAAGTCATAGCAGCCATAAAAGTCCAAAAGTCATGAAGGACATAAAAGACAGAAGAGTTACAAAATCGTGACGGTCAAGAAAGATTTGAACTTCACACAAGTCGAAAAAGTTGCATGTACCAGGTACAACCACAAAGTTAAACACATATATTTTATTAACCATATAAGCGACAGCAGTCATCAATTGTTTTTTCATAACGCGTACATTTTCTTTTATTAAACATTTTTGATCTTAGACAAACTATGTCCGAACTTCATACCTCGGATAACGACAAATTGCTGAAGTATTTGATGAATTCCTGTCCTATCAGTATCATTGCATGTATTATGTTCGTCAATATGAATTTTTATCTATAATATTTTCGATTCCATGGATGCCGTTGAGACTGTTACAGGTAAACAGTCATGTATTATTAAATAGATTGATGTATTTATTAACAAGAATAAAATAGAGAACATAATCATCCAAAAATTACAGAACTTTTACCGAAGAAAATTTTTAACAAGCGGTATTCTATTATTTGTCTATGAATTAGCCTAGTATGTACCGGAAAATTATATATTTTGTCTAAAAAGAAAAAATTAGAAGTCTACATCCAAAAGAACAGATATAAGAGTGAAAAAACCATGGAATAGCTGCCTCCTCTCTCTTTTTTCAAATCGAATGTCAATTAAAATTTCGATATTTGTCAATCAGAGTCTAGCGACAACAACTGGTAATATCGAATGACCTTTGAGAAGCGGAAAATTTTATTTAAGAAAAATAAATTACTTTTAATGTTATAAGTCAAGAGTGCAATGTGAATTAACTATTAGATGAACCATCTGTCGTAGTTCAGTGTTGGTACCATAAACGAAAGATATATTAAGTATAATAGAATGCTGCCCCATTCGAATTCTGTGGATTTGTTGTTGTAGAACGATTTCTATTACCTGAATTGAAGTTGTTACTAGATGATGATTGGCTCTGTTGATATTGATGTTGAGCAAAGTGTTGTTGAGCTGCAGCTTGTTGTTGAGCAGCAGCTTGTTGTTGAGCAGCAGCTTGTTGTGCTTGCGCTTGCTGAAACTGGTACTGCTGTTGTTGTTGTTGTTGTTGCTGTTGTACTTCAAGCAAAAATTGATTTACTTTCGCTTCGTTCATTACATGTTGGTGACCGTTAACAGTGACAAGATACAACTGCTGTTCAGGCACAGCATTATGAAGATCTGATGGTATATTTTCTGTTGTTGCCGGATTACTAATCTCCTCAATAAAAATACCAATGTAACTCTGATAGGGTAACATCGTTGGATGTTGGTGATAAAATGCTTGTGGATGAGCAAATGAAGCGTTTGGATGGTAAAAACGTGGTGCAACACCATACATCATCGGATTATGAGCGTAACCCATTCCTGGTTGAATGAAATGTGATGGCATATGAAAATTATTATATGAATTATTATTATTACGGTGAGGACCGACTGTATCTGAACGTGACTGTCGTGAACGTGGAAATGTGACATCGTCTGGTTCTTCAACAATTGGCACTGATGACGATGTACCATTTTCAATTTCTTCTTCAGCATCCGATCCGAGTTCCACAATACGACATTGACGCGATGAATTTCGAATTAAACTTTGATCGAGACGGGCGGCATTCTCTTTATTCGGATCTGAAATTCGATATGAATTGTAGAGTATTTAATATGATGCAAAATGAAGAGTCGAAATGTCATATCTTTTTAATTAAATAAATTTCAGTGTAATCCATGGCTGCTGTTAACTTAAAAAAGAACAATTATTGAATTACTTACTGATTAATTTCTGTAAGGCGTAATACAATACTTCACCACCGTCAGGTGCTCGACGAATGAAATCATGTTTTGTCAATAAAGACAAACCAGGTCCTAAAAATAATAAATAAATTTGGCAATCAAATTTAACTTTAGAACATAAATTTTTTACCATTCATTTCAAATTTTTCACAAATTGTTTTCTTTAATTCAAATTTTTTACATTCATTTTTAATCCATCTTTTAACATCATGTGATGACCAATTTTCAACATCTTTTCCTTGACTCATATCCTCCGCCGAACTTGAATGATGACCGTTTCCCATTAGTTCTTCATTTTTTATTGTAGTAGTAGTTGTTGGTGTACTACTTTCGTGTTTGACTTGAACGCGGTCATGAGTTGGTGCTCGATATTCATAGTATCCATTTACTTGTGGTGTTTCATATATAGTTGAAAATGTTCTATTCATTTGAAATTATTGCACCACAATTGGTATTTGGTACCTAAAACCCATATACATAATAAGTTGAAGAAAAATCTAAAAAAACCAAAAGCTAATTTTTACCAGTATTATACGTGTCTGCAAAAGACATCGTAAATAATAGGATAAAAATACATTGAAAACTAAATATATAAGATAGTTTCGCCATGTAACCTTGTTACAGCAGTGGAATTCTGACACGTTTTTTTCCATCCTTATGGTTTTCAAATGACGATAAGTCTACAGGTCTGTGGTATCGTAAATTGAAGAGAAAATCTACTGAACACTTCGCGGTCTATATGTTTTTCCGTCAAAAGTAGTCAGTCATTCGTATTTTTGTTATTTTCTAAATGAAAGAATATATAGTGAGTGGAAACGTCTAAATATGTTCAGCACACTTTTCTATTTAATTTAAGATAACGCAGAGCTCTAGACTTATTGCCATTCGAAAATCATAAGGACAGAAAATAAATATGCCAGAATTTTACCGCGGTAATAGCGTTCAAGCCGACGAGTGGGATAGTGGGACATTTTTTAAAAACTCAGTGATAACGGATCCAAATGCTTCATTTAAATGAAATATGTACAAATGCTTGAAATTCAGTGAAAAAAGGTAGAATAAAGCGTTCCGCCTTTCAGCTGCAAGGAAAAAGTAATTACAGAACAATGTTTAATAACATGTCGTTTTAGACACAACATTATTAACTAATTTTGAACTAGAACAATATTAATAATTTTTTGCATTGTATGTTTCTGAGAGAGAGAGAGAGGAATAGAATTTTATATTGTACAATATCATTGAAACAGTTTAACTTACACAAACTTTAATCTACTCCTGAGGAGGACAGTCTGACCGTTTGTTATTTGCTGCTGTTGATTCATAAGAACAAAAGAACATTTTTTTCTATAATAAAAAAGCGACATTTTGTGCACTACACATGTGTATTTATTATTAGTTATAACTGTGTTAAAATAATAATGGTTGTATTCCTACTATTGTTACAAAAAACCTTCTTTTTAGTGATCTAAACAAAGGTGATATACACAATCCTTCCATGCGTAACGAAGAGATGTATTACTTCATCTATGTGCCAATGAATAATAAAATGTTTTGTTTTTTATTTTTACCTTGTATTCATATATAGATATATGCACACATATGAAGAGACAGGATTCTAATTATATTTAAAAACTAATAAGCAATTAAGTAATTAGATTTCTGTTTATTAATTTGATAAAGTTGAAAGATAGAATACTCGAAATTTTGTTATTCTTCATCCTATAATGTCGTGAATAATGGCAATCTTTTTCGAATGAAGTTTTTCGACAGTTTATTGAAATTTATTGATGTTTAATATCTTTAACTCTCTATAGTACTAAGTTTATTTAATTGTTAAACAAAAATCTAAGATACATAAGTAAATATAATTGATTTAGCTATGATGCATTTCGGCTACTGTACACGCAGATAGCAATGGACATTTGTGTGTTTTTGAACAGTAAGGTGGTAATACAAAAATGGATGGATCAATTGAACCGACTTTGTAACTATTTAGATCGAATTCCATAAAATCATTTGGTTGTTGATCAATAATATACGGTACGTTTGTTGGATCTGTTTGCCAATATAAATTATTTTGTATACCTTTTTTACTCCATATTTGAAATTTAATTGAAGTCGATGTATTATAACCAACAAATTGAGCATCGGATAGCCAATCGGGACTCAAAATACCACAACCACTTTCACTAGTACAACACATGCAACAATCCTTTTGATCTGGAAATACTAAATAACGTAGACCCGAAACGACTAAATGTGTACATGGTACATCCTGTAGAAATTTAGCTGTTCCACAATAACGATCGTATTTTCCAGTGGAACGGTCAATTCTTACCGATTTTTTATCAAAATCATAATAATATACACCTATAAAATTGAATCATATGAAATTATGTTCACTGAACAAAATATTGAATTAATCTTACCTGTAATATTTGAACTTGTACCAGCTCCCGGCACCGTACTAGTTTCCATAAAATTTTCAGTAAAAGCAACTGGCCATTTTGGCGGTGTTGGGTCAGCTAGACAGTAAAATAAATAATGAGAAAAGGGCGAACATGGTTAATTTTCTTATTTAACTTACCACTTGCATAACACAGTATAACACCAATGAGGAAAATACTTATTAATCTTATCATTTTCGTTAATCTAGAAAATAGGAAAAGAAAATTTTTAACATTCATACTTTTGATTAAAACAATAGCGCACACACTCGTCTTCACTTGGTATATAACTAATTTCTTTGCGTTATAAGCTTTTAAAGAGGACCAGATGTATTTATTCCCTGAAGTACCTGCTTATAACCTTGTTGTCAGCTGCACATTAAAAATCCCATAGTCTTTTGGTTAGAAAATCAACATATGAAATTTTCTTTGAGATACTTGAAACTTTTATTGATACAATGATTCAGCTAAACACGAATATCTTGTGTATGTCATTCTGTTTCTCTACTCAGAATCTATGCAAGCCTACATGATCTAGATACCTACTAATAAACAAAAAATGTTCCATAATTGCTTGAAAACCAAAAATGATATGTTGTCTGACGTCTAAGTGTATTGGCTTTAGTGTCACTAAAGCATTCAGATAATAAAAAATGGGAACGAAATTCATTGGATCAAAGTTTTAAGATTTAAATAAGTTTTGAATGACATTTCCCCATGTTTCTTCCTTCTGACACCTTCTGACAAAGCACAGTTACTGAGACGTCCGATGAGAAAACCACTAGACCGGCCACCAACATTGCTATTTGGTGGCGTTCTCATCAAAGATCTCAGTAACTGTGCTCTGTCAAACGGAAGCATATCAGTTCAGTCACGAAATTTTATATATATAGTTTAATTTATTTAACGAGGATTGTAATATACAAAAAAACTTTTCCTCTCTACATATAACAATAGATAGAGTAGCACAAGAAGTAAAGAATGTTAAGTGAATCTTTTAGTGTCAACGATGTACTTGTGGACATTATTTACGATAAGGATGTTTTGTTCTGGAGTAAGATTAATTGACCCTTTTAGAATGAGTTCAGTAGTTGGTGGTATTGCGGTAATCAATTTTATATTATTCAACAATATAGATCTTTCCTGGACAAATCGAAGGCATTTTAAAAAGTAGTGCTCAGCTGTTTCGGGCTTGTTACAATGACTACAATTTGGTGTCGCAACGAAATGACGTTTATATTGGTCTGCTAATGGAAAGCTAAAGCCTAGGCGTATACGGGTCAGATGGATAATGTTTATCCGACTTCCTACATTATACCAAACTGGTGGCCCAGATGGAAAACTTAGGAGACTTTTCAATTTTATAGAGAAGTTCTCAGTATCTGTGATAGATCGCATTTCGTAGGGCAGTTTGTTCCAGTCATGTATAACGTTCACCAGTACTGACCTAGCTATAAAACGAAATTTTAAAAGCGTGTTTGGCCAAAATTGATTACAGATTTGGAGTCTCCATACTTGGTTACTTTGTACGCAACAAGTTTTGAATCCAGGTACTCTAGAAACATTTCTTAGTCTCATTCAGCCCTTAATCCCCTCCAGGAACTTAGTAAAAAGTTCTTTTGCAAAACAATGGAGAAATTTTTTCTGGAGTATCCCGCCTCAAAACTTGTTGCGTACAAGGTAACCAACTATGGAGAATTCAAATTTGCGATCAGTTGTGGTCGAATACACTTTTAAAATTTCTCGACTAAATTGATATGAAACATGGGGAAATGCCATTCAAAACTTATTTAAATCTAAAACTCTCATCCAATGAATTTCGTTCCCATTTTTATTATTTGAATGCTTTAGTAATACTAAAGCCAATAGCGCTTCGTTGTCAGTCCGCGTACCAAAATGGATTAGATTACTTTTTATGCTTTTACATCACTTGCAGTAAACATGTACATAATTTGGAATAAGAAACGAGTAAAACACTGTTACTCCCACTTACATAATTATATGATAGAGACATCTACCATGTATTAAATATTCTTTGTTTACAACTCAAAACTCTGATAAATATTAATAACACTAGACTAGATTCGAACGAGAAAAGATGATTTCAAATGTATTCTGAAATGTTGCTCAACACGATGGTGGTGATATGACAACATGATAGTTGAATGGTGATTTTTGACAAGTGAGTGTGATATAGTGTGCTTAAAAGAGGCAATCCTAGCGTCATCACTATTTAAAAGATTATTTTGATTCAAGACAACAGTGCGTTTAAAAAATGAATCTATTTGGCTCCGTTTTACCCAAAAATACAATATTTTGTATTGATTGTTCCGGCAGCATGTACTTGTGTTTGCCGACAATAAAAGAACATATTATCGCATATCTCAAAGTTCATTTATCCGACTCTACTGCAAATTTAATGTTCAATCTAATTGAATTTCACAGTGATATTCGTCAATGGGCTGATAGACTTGTTTTCTGGAATAAAAATTCGATTCTCGTTGCAGAAGAATGGATTCGCTCGCTAGTTGCTAAAACGTCCACAAACACATTAACAGCATTGTTAACAGCATTATCCGAGCAAATGTGTGAACAAATCATTCTCATCACAGATGGTATCCCCGATCAAGAACCCTATTTTATTTTACAAACGCTACAAAATCTAGGCAACTTAAAACCATGTCATATTTTTTATGTGAGTACGCCAAACTCGCAGAATACAAGTGAAGAAGAAACCGTTGTTAAATTTTTAACGGATCTCGCAAAAATATCATGTGGATCCTTGACAATTGCAAATTTCTCCCAAACCGGCATGTTAAAAAATCTAGTGCCAATAGTCACTTATTATCCGGCACTTCCTAATAGCCTTATAGATAATTCTGGTATCATATTTTTAAACGAAATCAACAATAACCAGATAATAGAGAGCTCTGTAATACAACCGTCACCACCACAGATGATGATCTGGAATAATACAGATACCACACCTGAAAATAAAGAAATTGAAATTGCTCGTTCACCTGAAATTGGATCATTGCTCATTGGTCAAGAGGTAATAGCAAGAAAAGCAACAGATGGCTATTATTATAGAGGAAAAATTCTCAATCAGGTAACATTTAGTAGGTCATTGCATCCTGTTTAGATCAAGAATTGAATAAAATTTCTTTTTATAGTTGTCTACTCACCAGTTCATGGTGGAATTCGGACCTAAAATGTCTGGTGCTTATAAAGAATCTGATTTTCAAGAGACAACATTACATGATATTATTCATTATCGTGACGCGTTAATGCATACTATCAAACGTGGCGACTATGTTTTAGGACCGATAGTTGATAGTCAAGGGAAATATGTACCTGGAGAAGTGCTGGACGGATTTGAAAAACGTTCATCATGCGAAGGTACATTTTCGATTGTTGACCTCTTTCTGCTCATTAGAAAGTGTTACTCTATTTCAGATGGAGAAGAAAAACTGTTAGTCATACACTTTACTAATGGAAAAACTGTCACAATGAAACGATCGAACGAAGCAATATGGATACCATCATTACTGTACGATCAAAAATAACCTTTCTAAACTTAATAAATATATTTGGATCTATTTCAGATACGAACGGATTAAATTTGAATCATCGATGCCACCAAGTGCTCGACAATTTTTAGAAATTCATTCTGTTTCTTATCCATCCAAGTTGCTTCCCGGTTATCCATCAAAGTCATCCAGCATACCATTAGCCTACGATACCTGGCCATTTTTTGTACCATTGATAAAATCGTATTCAAAATCAGTTGTTAACGAACATAGTGTAAATAGTCATGATTTGAATAGTCTGGTACCTGATCGATTAATGACAAAAGATGAATTAAATCGAAAAGTGGATCAGCAAATTGAAAAACATCGGATGTTGTTAGATAGAAATCAACAGGAGAACAAACCTATTTTGTCTAGCGCAAGGTAATTTTTATCTTTTGGGTGAAATAACTTTTTGTATCATCAATTTTTCTTGATAGCAGTGATATCAGTTTCAACAGATATCAATCTAATTGTTGCTCTCATCCACCTCAACATTCTCATTCTTATTCTGCATCACCAACCTTCTCCTCCACAACAACATCAACAAAATCAAAAAAGAAATCTGTTTGTTTTGATGAAAATTCTATTAATGGTCGAAAATATTCGGTCGATGATATGTACATTCGCTCTCAATCACCATCACTCAAGTCATGTCTGAAATCATCTAATTCATCATCAAATATTTTTAATGATACTGAGCATCGACCACATCAAATACCATTATCAGATTTGGTTCAAAATTCTGCCACACAAACTTCTACAATTCCAAAAGAACATCACAATAATAATGAATCAAAACAGCCGTCGAATAAATTCCATGAAACTAAACCTCCAGTACCAATCGAACTATGGAAACCTAGAACGATCAAATCGGCACCAAGTACGTTCACTTTGATTAATAAATATATGTAAAATAATGCGTCTACTTTTCATTTGTTAATAGATTCATCTTCTTATTCTCACCAGACACACATAGCGAGTCGAAGACCAAATATGGGTCGTATTTATGAGCAAGCCCAACGAGATGCCAAAGCCGAACTTCATAAGCAACAGTGGGAACGTGAACAATTTAAAAAACGTCAAGCGAATGATCAAGCTCAACTAATTGCAAATCGTCAACAACAAGAAATAGATAAAGCCGAACGAATTCTAAATGCAAAAAAATATCATCGACAACAAGCAATACATAGTGAACATCAAAGGTATGTTGTTTCTTTATCTAATAGAGTTGAAAGTAATGAAAAAATATTTTAGGACCCAAACAGTACAAAATGATGAGCAGAATCGTTTGCGGCTTAAACAGTCTCAATATGCACAGAAAAGTTTCGATTCATATCAACGACAAGTTGATAAAGAACAAAATGATGCCGAATTATTAGTACGTATTCTATTTTATTCAGTTTTCTCAGAATCTATCATATTTCATTATATTTTAGCGTAAGCGTCAAACCAATCAAATGGCACACAATCAAGCCTATCACAGTTCCGTATTAATCAATGATTTCGATCGATTATATAATGATAATCAAAATCGAAAAGTGTACAATAACCGCATGCAAAAAGCGGCAATATTACGTGATCGAGAACAAAAACGAAATGATTTTATCAAAGATGTTGAAAAACGACGTGTAGCATGGACAAATTCATCGATTATAACTTAAAATCATTTGTTAAACACTTTTCTTAGAGAATTTTCAGACGTCCTCTTCAGATTCTTGAAACTGTAGAATCATAGTCACTAAACGTCTGTTTCTAATTCTGTTTTCCTGAATAGAACGTCTGAAAGTGCTCACAAATTGTATTATCTATTTTTCTTTATTTATTTCCACTCTAATTTTCGATAATTTTTTGTGATAACTGTGTGTACGTTTACAGGAGAATAACTTATAGATGGGGCTCGATAAAATGGATACTTGTCCAATCTTACAGTTCAAAAGCTTCCCAGTAAAATAAAAGGGCAAATTACATTGAAAATCTAGTCATTTTGACTTGAAAACTAGTTAGAACAAAACTAAAAAATTAGTTAACATCAAGTTGTTGTATAAGCGTGCTCCAATCATCTCCTATTTTATTTATCAAGGTTATGTAAAATATTACTGACAGCAACTAAATAACACTCTACTATTTGTACGTTTGAATTTCTAAGAATGAAATAATTACTGTACTTCTGCGTCTTCGTAGGCAGAAATGTTTTGTCATTGTTTAATGAAAAATGAAATATATTTATCCATGTGTCATCTCTTCGAAGTTTATTCAGAAAAAATCATTAAAAAATAGGAGAAACACATTCACAGGCAGCCTTAAACAAAACGAGGACGATAACATTTACACATAGAGTTCAACTGGAATAAGAGTGACACACATGGGGGAAGAGGCCGATGTCAAATTGTAGCAGGTGTAAATTGAACATTTATATTATTTAGCGTAGAGTGAACAATGATCTTATGAGCAGCAAGTAGCTCAGGGTTATAACTGTAGCAGAGATAGGATGATGTGTGGGAGATTGTTATGATAGTACAGTTTGATTCGCTTATTTTCAAACAGTTTTTGTCAGTTGACTGTATTTCTGCCAAACATAAGGCGTTTTTTATTTTTATACGGCTGGATAGAGAGTTCATTTCTCTATCGAATTATCTAATTTGAGTCTGGTTTTGCTGAGAGCTTTTACATAAATTCTACATTATACGAATGGCCCTAAAACCTTTTTTTTTCATTTCTGTAACGAAAATGTCAGGTGACTTAGAATTTAAATTAAACTTTCTAATCGAATACACAACAGTTTCATTCAATACTTTGTGCACACACGGCTTTGATGGATCTCTTCAATCTGAAACCATTTCCGTGTCAATCGGATTTAGTTTCAGTTAAATATTCCCTCTGCAGCTAAATATTACCGTGAAAAGGATTTTTGAATTTCACTAAATTTTCGACCAAGATGAGGAATAAATCAGAGACAAATTATACAGTTCGATAGAGAATTAAATGCTCTATCCAGCCTTATAGAAATAAAAAACTTTTTATTTTTGGCAGAAATACAGTCAACTGACAAAAACTGTTTGAAAATAAGTGAATCAAATTGTACTAACCATTTCAAAAAAAAATGCCAGTGGATGTTTTCTGAATAACTTTTGATAGGAACGAGATAGAGATATTCGTTTTTTACCGTTTGATAGTCCTGACCGGTGCATGTGACACTATGAAAAAAACTATTATTAGTAATAAAAGTAGGCTGAAGCGTGAAATTTATAGCCCTTCAGTCGAGCAGCGTACAGAATTGGGGAATATCTTTTTTTGTAACTTACAGATTTTTTTTCAAGTGGTAACTAAGCAAAGTCTGGCTCTAATCTAAACACCTACGTATAATTCGCGTCATTAAGGCCCTTTTGCATGAAAGTGGTGTATACCAAAAAACATGCCGCTTAAACTAGTCAGCTGCTAGACTTTGCTTAGTAACCATTTGAAAGAAAAATCTTTACAAAATAAATAAGCCAACTCTGTATCTTGCTCGGCAAAAGAACTATTACTTTCACAAAACGTTACGGACTTTTATGTGAACAAGCTCATATGCTCTAATGAAACTCCTTGCAGTTCGTCCTACTTTTTTGCTTGTCTTTTGTAAATTTATTTATTTATTTCCTCTTACATAGACGCTTGTTAGAATGTTCAATGCTAAAAGTTTCAATGGTTTCTACAGGTCACAGACAAATGAGAGATACATAGTAAATCCTTTGTCACTCATCGATTATAGAGAGAAAGAATTTTGTTCTCATCTAGTTCTGACGCATTAGAACTCTAAATGAGAGAGGCAGTAAAAAAATTTGAAAATTAAATTTTCAGTCGAAAAGTTAGTAGAATTCTTACAGAATTTTCAATATTCGCATTTTCAGGGCAGAAAATATATTATTGCTTTTGAAAAACATCTCAAATGTAAAAAGTCAAACATCTCTCGCAAATAAATAAATGACTGCTCGATTGTATGGTAGTTATTTATTATTATACTATTAAAAATTGAGCACATATAACCGTTTTTGTATTACTATTACAGTTTTTAACATATAAAATAGAAAAAATGGATACACGTAAGAAAGAGAAAGTGAGTAATATTGAACAATAAACAAAAATAGCAAGAGAATTAGTTTTAAAATACTTTTAAAGTCACTGACTAAATGAAATGTACACACACAAAAGAACCAAATGGCACACATTATTCACACTATATATTTTTACTATTGTTTGATCGGTCTTCTATTTGACTATCACAAAAATCGAAAAAAAAAATTACTATTAAACATCATTACTATTTATGTAAGAAATAAGAGTATATCTACTATTAAAGATGAATTATGAAATATTGTCATCGAAAAAGTAGAATATTATTTACTCTAAAACAGACTTAGAAATATCATACTTTATCAAACGAAGATTCTTAGTTGATTATTCTGAAATCCCTTCCCAGAATAGAAGAGTATGAACTTCTATTTCGTTTAGTGGCTGTTCTTCTACGTCTTTTCTTTGAAAACAAATTTATCCATTTAAAAAAAGAATGATCCATCAATGGTTCTTGAATTTCTCATTTGACACATCTCTTTGTAAAAAACTACATTCTTCTCGACTTCTCAATTTTTTCGAAGAAAAATCGGTTTATAGTCCGAACGTGTTGTTTTTCATGATCAGATAGTCCAAAGTGACTTCGTTACAATCTGACTCAAGCGAGACCTTTATCTTCCATAATTTGAGTATACCATTGGATTTTCTGAGAGTTTTAGGACTAGCATCTGTTAACTTTCGATAAACATAAGTTTTCCAAAGAAAATTTCTGACACATAGAAGATATTTAAATTGCTCTATTACTTATGTTTCAATCATTTTTGAGGTCTTCGAAAGTCAACAGATGCTGTACAGTTCCAGAACGCCCAGGTATTTAACAATGATAATGTATAAAAAAATTTTTGTCAATCAAATGATATCAAAATTCACTTTTTTTCCTTCGAAAAACAAATATTTGAGTCAATGTGCATATAGATGAAGATAGAATATAACTGACATACAGATACATATCTATTGTTTGTCCATATATTTCATTTCATAGATATATGTTTATATGTGTTATACTATAAATATCATTATGCACACTTTCATATTTTCTCTATTCAAAAAAATAAAATAGAAAATATTAAAACATTTTTCGATAAAATACAAGATCATGACGTTCTATTCTGTTTCTATATTTGTTTTTTTTCTTTGTTCTACACTATTCTTCTATTGTGGGAGGGAACTTAGAGCAAGAGACATTTTCCATTCTCCTTCTATTGTCTAAGCTGATATGATACATTAATCCTAAGAGACCATCATCACTCTCATCATAGAATTCTATGATTAACCTCAACATTATTACTATTGTTGTTACTGTATTGTGTTTCTTCACCGGTTCTCGTAGCCACTTCAACATAAGATTTCATAAATAATGCTTTGACAATGTTAAATGTTCGTTTATCTTGGCATTTGTTACCAATTTCATGATGTAAAATTTTAAATAATTTATCCATTTTTGTTGTTGTTGTTGTTATAATTGCTGAGGAAGATTTGGACAATGTTGATGACGTTACAAAATCCATATTAAATAGTATGATAAATAAAAATAGAATCACCGTAAATGAATGATTTGCTGTAAGAAAATTATAAACAAGATTTGTTGACGCCATTTTTCGTATATGATATTCACATAATTTGTATAAATCATAATAATAAACGTCAGCACAAATTTTTGCTCTTGCTTGGGTTATATCTAAAGCGTTCAACACGGTTTCGATAACATCAAATAACGAATAATCACTATAATTATATGTTGATTGTTGCTGTTGTTGACCATTTTTAAACCAATTTCCAAGCCAATCGAATAAATGAATAATGTGTGAACAATTATTCTCATCGATTTGAGAATCATTACCTTCGTGTGTTGGATGTTGATGAGAATTTGCATTATTGATCGTGTTAGTGATATAACCACTATTAATCTGTTTCATTTTTCTCGGTAAACGTTTGTTTGTTGTCGACATTCCCACTCGTGCACATTTTTCATATCGACAAGCTCGACAATCTTTGCGATTCGACTTATTTATATCCTGAGGTGATTCACAAGAATGTTTAATGTCTTGAGTACCATGTAAAACTCTTCGATAAAAAGCTTTACAACTTTCACAAGTGAATGCGCCAAAATGATAACCACTCGACTCATCACCACAGACCTGACACGGTTGTTTCACTAGAATTAATAGACACATAGTAGAAATGGCATAAGAAAAAGAGAAAAGAAAGAAAAAGAATTGCAACAGTTTCTGGATGAAGAGGGGTCGTGTTTTTCTTTCTGTCCAGTAACAATCATGAGACTCCATCTTTTCTTTCGAATTTTTATATCAATTGTGAAGCTTACCATCTGTACTTCGTATCTTTGAGAAAGATTTCCATGGTACTGTAGATGAGCTATTTGATGTCGAATTGTAACTCGTGGAATCTAATTCATTCAACGGTTTTTGTACGATTGTTGATAGCGCTGGAGATATTGGCGTTTGATACGTTGAGAATTGATTATAATATAATGGAGAGTAATAATCTTGGTAACTATTAATGTTAATTGAGTTAATAGAGCTACTACCATCGTCCATCGTTGTCGATTGTTGTGGTATGGATGTGAGACAGTGTTGTTGTTGTGGTAGCTCAATTGAAGATCCTAGTTGTTGTGGGTGCTGCTGTGTGATATAGGTTGTTTGATATTGATGAGATGAAGGAAGAAAATATGAATGTGATGAAGGCCAGACGTCGTCCATTGATGTGTAAGATGTATGCGGATTACTATGTTCCCCTGGCCATAGATTCGCTGATACAGGCATACCAAAATTCTGTGTCTCATTGTAATCCTAATTGACAAAAAAGAGTTGACATAAATAATGTATCGATGAAAGTTTTTCAAACAGCACCTACCATATGATACATGCCATCGTTTAAAACATTCCACATAGACATATCACCACTGATCATCATTAAATTCGCTTTTAGCATAATACTGAAAGGCCAGAAAAAGCATCATTATCATCTGTAATCATAAATATCTCATATGATCTAGTTTTACTAATAATGCAAAATATAAAATAAGCTAAATTAACAACATAGAGAAATATATTCAAATAATATTTAACCCTTTTTGTTCAAACGGAATACTAAAAACAACGCTAAAATTATTGTAACAGATAAATCTTATTTTGTAATCATTTCTGCTCTTGAAAATTCTAGAATGCGTTCATTACTTCTGCTCTTTCAACTAATCATAGTTTTCGAAAGTGACTTAAACTTGCAGAAGTTCAAAAAATTAGTCATTTTTTTTGGTCTTTATATTTTCTGAAGCGAAACAAGAGACTTTAAACCTTTAGCAATGTTTTTGTACTCTTTATTCAAGTCGTTCAAGGGTGCAAATCACAGTAGTTTTAATCATGGCTTGGTCTTTTCTCATACTACACTAGTATATCCAGTAAGAAACTTAAACTGTGTGATATATGTCCTAGATATTACACGTATTCCAGTAGTCCACTGACATGTGTTAGGTGTTGTTAAGTTTCCTATTTCTGTTAGTCGTATCATCGCGGCACTTTTCATGTTGTCTCAATTTGAGATATTATACAATTATGTATTGTCTGTAAACGTGATACGGCATTTTTTTACATTTTTTTTTATTACTTATGGTTTGATATTTCGGATAAAGTGCTACTCGACTGTATTGTCATAACCTGTATGTCACTCACTCATACACACAGAATATACGGATAGAACAAAAACTGTTATAGTACAAAGAAAAATGGATACACATAAACTCTGGCTATAGATTCTATGTGCGTTTGTCCGAACTAAGTTCAAAACATTTCATGTCCTTGGACACAAAAAATCCTATATCTTGGCCAGACCAAAAAAAAGAACATTCACTGCAAAATGAGTATGGTGCATACATAATAAAGAAAAACTTTTCCAGAACACACATATCCTTACAGCTAAATATTGAGAAAAAAAAGAGGAGAAGAAATGTACGAATCTGATAATCAGTATAAATCTTATACAAAAATAAAAAAGAGCGGTACAAACGAGATTATAGTTAACTACATTTTTTTTAAAAAAAAATACTACTTGCATCGATTCGAACTTAATTCTAGAAGGTAAGTGCTACTGTTAGTGATAAACTAAGTTTTTTAAGTAATCTCTTAATTTAAAAGAATGTTTTATTGTGTGCACATTTTCTTACATAGAAATTCTACATAACGAAATAGAGAGTATCTTTAGTAAAATAATTAGAAGAAACATTTTCTCCTCTACTTATTGGAATGAAAACATCTGATATTTCTATTGCGTATTAGTAACTTTCTATAAAATGTGACTCGATATGAGATTTCAACACTTATATTCAGGTCACAATTACCTAATTATATGTAGTATTGCAGTATATATATATATATTGTGGAACAAATTTTGATTCACAGGTAAATGCACATACTTCTTTTTCATAACCAAGAGTGGAAATAACACTTTCTCTATAAAAGAATTTTGACGGTATGTACGCGTAGGTTTAGAAGAGAGAAAAATGAAGTTAAGATTGTCATAGATAAGAAAATAGCGCCAGAAATCAATCACGAAATCATTTTTATAATGACGTCTATTTCTGCTTTTGGCCAATCAAAGAAAACATCAAGAACAAAGAGATCATAATTTATGTGTTACACATATTTTTGTCAATATTTTTTGCCCTCATTGCATTATTGACCTTTTTTTTGAATAGCTCTCTTGCTCTGCCTAGTACTACTGTTGGTCTAATTACTTGAAAATTTGATGATACACTCAGTTTTACATGATGAATTTTTTTACTCCAAGCTTTGGATACCTTCGAAAAGTGTGTTGGTGGTTTCATCTGGTTGTCTAAAGAACACGTCATTAAAGAAACTATATTCTATTACTTAAATCAATTTTGAAATCATATTGAGTATATAAACCTTAGTTTCATTAAGTTTTTAAGTCGTTTAAACTGATTCAAAATAGTTTATGATTTTTTTCAATATTGAATGAAAGTAGTGCTACATCAAGACGATGAAAATTCGAGAGAGCAGAGAATCCGTATCATAAAGAAAATACTTCGTGCTATCTACTCATGCAAGAAACAGTTCATTTTCTACCTGAATTTTTGAAGATTCACAGTAGCTTTCCACCGATCTCTTAAAAACGATTCTTTTAAAAAAAAATTGAAATTCTTTTCTTCTGAATGACAAAAAACTCTAACTCTCTCGCTATCTTCAACAATTATTCAAGCAATAACTACAGCCATTCTCAATGGAGAGATAGTTGTTTTTCCACTACTTGTTGTTGTTATAGTGGCAGAATACATTTTTCAAGTAGGGGAGACATCAAAATACTTTTAGAAGATGGAGACTTGATAAACGGCTGTAGCTTCAGAGGTTACTAGGCTTTATTCCTTAAATTTTTCATTTTACGTGATTAAATAAGCTCTACTTTTTGCTCTTAGATAAGGTGTCCTCTCAGTTCGTCCCAAATTGGCTTTGTAAGATCAAACAACATCAAAGGGGCGAGCAGGTGTGAGAGTGAGCAATTTGGGACGAACTGAGAGTAAACCCTTAGATAAATAGTTCAATCAAGGATGTACACATCACTTTAGGCTTCTGACCTTTTGAATTTTCTAAGAAAGCATCGACTTTTTTCAATAAACTTCTCGCAGTAAAGAGCACTTCGGTGCTAAATTTTCTAATAAAAATTGAAAATGAAGTCACTGTTTTCATTGGTAACAAATATATCTATAGATCATTAATTACTAGTTATGTTGTCGATTAATAATGATAAAGTTAATTTTATGTCTCAATAAAGAGATGATTATTATTTGTCGTCCTATGCTTACTGTTCATTTTCCTTAATTGACTCAAATGATCATTTTTTATATCATAAAATACCTTAATAATTAATTGTACATCTTCATCTACTTTATATATCTTCCCGTTGTTTTTATATATTACAGATATATTGATCTAGTGATATATTTGAAAAACATTTGAACTTTGTCGTTATATACCAGACACATGCAATATTCTTAATCGGTCAAATAACTATACTCAAATACGAATGGCAACCACTACACTTCACTATCCTCATCATGCATATCATCATCATCTCGATATATAGAATGATCGTCTCTTCTATTTTCGGATATGAGAATAATGGACATAAATAAAACATCGAAATTTTGACGAGATATACTCAACTCAAATAAAATAGAAAAAAAATATTTCAACTATAGTTAATTATTCATTTTATTTTATTTTTTGCAAAATGAGATAAAATTTTCGAACAAATGTACGTGTAAAATGAGAAATTTCACTTCTTTATTTGGCATTTTCTTAAATCAATAAAAAGAATACATTCGATGACGTAAAAAGAAATGTTTTTCTTTTTTTATTAATGAAGCAGAAATCTTGCACTATTTAAATGAAACCATTCACAGATAAAACGATAGAGAAATAAATCTCAAAAGTTATGTTTCCTATCGACTTCTAGTGGTGTTTTGGTTCGGCTACTATATTTCTCATTTTCATTATGTTACAAACAATAGACATTCAAAGTCATTTACCTAAAGCGATCCTTTAGGTTCTTACATGAAACGCTCTTGTTTTCCTTTTTTTCTCATTGTATCGTCTTTAATATTTGATATGATTTTCAATATCAAACTTAACATATACTTTAAAGTAGAACGAAAACTGACTATAAAAGTGAGTGTTATGATTGCTTTTGAAACAGGACATCCTTTAATAGGCAGGTTTTTATTTGAGGTCACTTTAATGTACATATCGTATTCTGGGATCACATTCAAATGTTGTTATCTCATACCTGTACTATTGTCTGATTGATCGGTCATTGCTTGGTTCTGTGGAATATGTTTGTGTTTTGCTCCAGTTATAGTACGATTTATCTTGTCAAATAATATTCATACACACATACACACACACTTTTTAGGACAAACAATAAAATCCATGAACAAATATCTTTTGTTACGTATAATAAAAAAACAAGAAAAAGAAGAAAATATGGTTTAAAATGTGTCGATCATCAGTTTCTGTATTGCATGTGTTCCTGATTAAAGATATTCTACACTCGGCGTGTATAGTAATAAATTAGAAACAAAACAAAGGAATGACCGTGGGACCTCGACTCAAGATCATTAACTGGAAACAAGATCACAAAATGGTGATCTAAAAGTAGAGACAAGAAAATATATCGATAGAAGTATGTTGTGTATAAAAGAAGCACAAAAAAGAAAAAAAAAAAAGAAAAAAATAACTTTTATAACTAGATTCAAGACACCGGCAAAATTTTACATTAGATTTTTCTTTATTTTCTCTTTCAGAATCATATATGGCACAAAACGACAAGTTTTTTCTCTCTTTTTTTTTTCCATGTGTCTCCTCGTATTATACGAATCTATTCTTTTATCATAAATTATACGTTTTTCTATCCCAATCCAATTGAAGAAAACAAATCAAAACATATAATGATTGGTAGAAAACGTTCATGTGACCAATAAAAACTGATACATGAATTTCACATTAATCAAGGAAGATATACAAAAGTTGATGATCATAATCAACGAAACACCATCGAAAATCTTATTAATTTTAATAATGATACTTTTTACAGAAAGAAATGACAATCGTGATATGATTCTATCGTGGTGGAAAAACTTCGAAATACTTCAATAAACAAATCTCTTATTATTGGTTATTACTTTGGTCGAAAAATAATTATAACATATAAGATCAAAAACAAACGAATTAGTTTTAGTTAGATGATTTATATTAATTGAGAAAAATTTTTTCAGAATACTTTATATAAAATCTTTTCGAGATTGTTTCTCAAAACGTGAACGATATTATGCAATATATAACAATCCTTTAGATCCGACGCAAGCATAAAATTCATCTTGCTCTCTTGTTCCACTGTTGATTAATTCCCAATGGTTATTT